GTGTCTTGCATGTGTTTATCAATTTAAAAAAAACGAAGAAGAAGAAAACATGGCAACATTTCTGAGAAAGTCACAGAACTGTACATGTTCTTCCCACGCTTGGAGACCTTTCCGTGAATTAGAAGACATCCTGAGAAATGCTTCTCATTGTTGTCTACATAATTGTGAATGAAAGATCATTGTGTACTTCCTCTTAATGAGGACTCGAGGTGGCACACTGTGAGGTTGTTTTCTTCTTTTGCAATACTGGATACAGGTCCTTTGTAAGAGCATTAGGCTAAAATGTGCTGTGGATGACCGCCATGAAGCTCAGAGCTTTTAAAGTAGTTCCGTTCAGTTCAAGATTTATTTATGTAGCGCTTTATACAGAGCGTATTGTCACAAAGCAGTATTACAAAACATCCAGGTCCAGGCCGCAGATGAGCAAGAGCGACGGTGGCAAGGAAAAACCCCTTAAGAGCAAGTAGAAGAAACCTTTAGAGGAATCAAGAATGAAAAGGGAGCCCATCCTCCTTCACTGGAAACAAAACAATAAAACCAAAAAAAAATTAATAAAGAATAAGATTTGACAGTGAATAAATAACAGTAAATATAGAAAAAAAATAAGCCTGTGATTGGACAAGTAACAGTGTTACTGTTATAGTGACAGTTACTATCACTGAATAGTGTTAGAGGCCTGAAAGAACATTTCATTGTCATTTTTACTGAACTGAGAGAAAATAAGAGCAACATATAAGACAAAAATAGAATTGCTTAGTCTTAATAAATGAATCTCATTATCTTGGTGTCTTATAATGTAGATTTTATGTCAGATAGCAGCTTTAATAGGAACTTTCCCGAAGACTCTTACAATGTAAGGATAGTACTAGAGCATTTTCTGCATTGCAGTGCCTAAAGTAGGCACAACAGACTCTGTGTGGAAGGTACATTTTTGATTGACAGCTGTTGTAAGCCGCTTTCATTCACCTGCACTGATCCATTCAATGTGTGACACACTGGCCATGCTGACATAGTTTGCAGCTACAGGGGAAGTGGAGAAGTGTTGGTACAACACTTACTACAAAATGAAACAGAATAAAACAGACTGCGCTCAATGTCAGTTACTGACAGTTTCATATTGGCCATTATAACCCAAAAGACTGCAACAGCTGAACTAGAAGCAGCTCGAAACCCAGTGAGCAAATATTGTCCACTGGGTAAGCCCCTTACACTTGGAATTACTGGCAGTCAAGTTTCTTTCTTAATCAGACACCCCAGTGTGACTGCACCTTATCAGTGCATAGATTTCTGAATGTTTGAACCTCTAATTGCAATAGAATTTCAACCCACCTATTCCAGATTATGTTCGCTCTCATTTAAGAGCCCATATCCCATGTTTACTTTACCATTTTCCAGCCTCTCTTTATCCCTTAGAATTAATCAGGCTGTTTTTATTACTGTGCATTTAAGAATGATATATGTTAATGAGCTCTCTTCTGATTGGCTGCCTTGAGTTGCGCCTCGTCCAAAAAAGCAGTCCAGGCTGAAATGGTCCTTATAACTTCAGTGTGAACGGGTGAAGCTAAATTGCTGTAAGTTTGGTGCCCCTGGGCCAAATGACTTGAATATTGACTTTCTAAGTGAAAATAAGTTTACACATCCTCTACAGAGAACACACTTTGCGCATTTTAACCCCTTAAATGGCCAGGGCCCACTGGCAGGCCCAAAGTTTTATTACACACTTCTTTAATCTAAGAACAGCTCAGCCAGTTTGCATTGAAGTCCCTGTAGTTACTGAATAATAAGCCATGATATGTAATAATCCTGGGAGTTTAATGGGTTAATGCACAATAACTGGTTATTTGCTGAATTTAATATATTGAGAAGGGGGAGGAGGTAAAACATTAAATGTGGCCTGTGCAAAAGTTATGCCATATTTTATAGAAATTCAGTGAAACATGTAATTTGACATGTGTTCCAACTGTATGTGACTGTATATGTAAATGTGTTTGTTTTTGCAGTTTAGTTTCTATAAATGGGTCGTATGGAATGGAAAGTGAACGGTACATTTTCAAAAAACGGAGGGAAGGTTTTCCATGATATGGACCCTTAATATAAAAGTAGAGTTTTTGAAACCAGTGCCAATATTGAAACCTCGAGTGCCGATACTCATCTTCTTTAACATATCACAGTTTTAAAATAGTAGCTTAGATATTGTATAATACTGAATATTGTCGCTAATATCCTTTACAGTCTGTCTGTTCAGAATATGCAGGCTACTTGAAATTGTGCATATTGCATGTGATTTGTTAATCCAACTAATGGGAATAAGGTTTTAAAACATGAATGATGCAACTGGATTTACAAGAAAAAAAACAACTGAAACAGGGAAGTGTCTGACCTTTTTTATTTTCTTAGACTTTAACTGCTGTCGGCAACTTTTATGTGTATGTATTCTTTCTCTGCCAGGCCGTGTCCTCCCTAGCCAGCAGGCCTTGATTGGCTAAGCTGATTAAAGCTCCTCACTTACCACAGTGTTGCGTTATCTCTTCCTCACCATCAGGAACACTCTGTAGTTTTGCCAATACTTAGCACTGTAACTGCTCCTTTCCTATCCTGTGCTAACTTGTGGGGTCCTCCAGAAACCTTGCAGTATTGAAGTGATAGTTTAACATAAAGATCTAGATACATAGATAGAGACATTGCTTTTATGCAGTTTTCCCCTATACCCAAAATGTAGTTGATCAGATAAGACATGTTTGGTGTCTACAGATTGCTTCCTTAGTCTCACACTGGAGTGACAAGGCCAATGTAGCTAACAAGTAGTGGATGCCTAGAGCCACCAATTAGGGTCATGCAAACTGCATGCATAAATCATCACACCTATGCCACAAACTGTTAATCTCAGATAGACATGTTTACATGGTTTTTGATTATTTGGTTGTTTGATTTTTACCCAATTTAGTCATGGCTGATTCGCACCCACTAGCCCCTTTGTAAAAAAATGAAACCTCAGCTCATCTTTAAATTCTAACTTATTACACAGCTTTCCTTGCGTTAACTCAACTTGAGAAAACTAGAGTTTACCAAACTTAAACCTCTTAATTAGTCAAAAGTTTTCCGAGCTCACATTTTCAGCTCTGCAGCTCAGTTAGGTAAATAATACAGAATTTGTGTTTTACCCAATTTCCCCACAAGCTGGGACGCTGTCCATTACACAGTCCTGTCAAGTTTTTTCTGCTCTTGGGCCCCCAGTTATGGGTGGCCATGCCATCGCTATGGTTCAACCTCATTCCTCCTGATGCCCCAGAGACACATGAAGCACATGCATCTTTTTTAACGAAACATCACTGGACAGCTCAACACACTTGAACGAGAATGCTTACTCCCAGTTCTGTGTGTTAGCTAACAGGCACCTGCATTGGGCTAGCAATGCGCTAAGTGATGTGGGGAGAATCCACCCACGGTGAAAGAGTGAAGAAAGTTGTGTTGTTTTGGACTTCAGGCCATGGATGGCTGTGGCATCCTGACAGTAGGGCCAACACTTAGACAGTTGCGCTTCATGTGGCTTCTTCTGTGTATTTACGTGGTTTCTGACCACAATATATATGATATGATGAATATATTTGAACAAATGATGGCCAAACTACAGACAAAATTCATGCTTTAAGACAGTTGCTAATACCATTTTTAGCTCAGCAAATTTCTGCCGATAACACATGAGCAAGTCATTTTTTATGCACGTCTTTGGCGTGTTTGGTGGCATAGAAGCGTATATTGCTTTTTAGCTACATTAGTCTTGTAGCTCCAGTACAAAACTAAAGAAGGAAAATTTGGACATCCAACGTGTCTGAACTGATCAATTGCATTTAGGGAAAGGTTGAAATTGTGCAAATTTGATTTATTGACCAACTGTTGCTTTAAGTTGTCTCTGCGAGTTGATGTGAAATGCATGGAGTCCACATGGTGTCCCATTACTTAGTGTCCTCATGTGGTTAATACAGTAGTTTCCAAAGTCCTGCTAATTAGTTTACACGCTCCTACTCTACTCCTGTTCTACTCAACAGAAAGTCAGCCAGTATCAGCAACAGTAGGATAATGATGTCTACTCTACTATGTAACTGCAACGTTTTCTTAACGCAGACTGAAGACTAATTGGGATCCATTTTTATTTACTCTAAAAAATGTTCCCCTTGAGTGCCATGGTCTCATTTGGCCTCTTCAGCATTGGAGTAAATAAACTAATGTGTCAGAAGCTGTGCCATAATTACACAATGGAAAGCTGCTCATTTAAAATCAATTTGCTCAAATGTCACTGGCCCAGTAAATCAGTGTCAGTGGTTGGAGCTTTAGAACTGACTGAGTTTACATTATTGCGTTAGACTAACTCCACACAAGCTACGTGGCCTTGTTTATACCTCCATCAGGTAAAGTGTTAAAAAGGGGAGAACAATGCATTTACATTGATTTAATACAGGGGTGTCCAGTCTTGCTCGCAAAGGGCCGGTGTGGCTGCAGGTTTTCATTCCAACAAAGCAGGAGATCACCTGATCAGCAGTTTGAAGACTGACCAACTGATTTACTAGAGTCACAACATTTCATACATGCACAATAAATAAAATACAATAAAAGCATCATCAAATGCTTTATATTATACATATTATAAATAGTATAAATAGTGGGTAAATTTTAACATCTTCCTGTAACTTTCTGGTTTATGCCACATCCTCTTTAAGTTTATAATTAAAAGGAGGTATCGAAAAAAGTATAAAAAGTATGAAGTCAAGATCTCGTGTAGAAAATTTTGGACTGGTCCCTAAGCTTGTAGCCCACGGAAGTCTAGCTTACAATTGCAACTGCTTTCCTTTTGCACATCAGTTGGCTTATTAAATATTTAAGAACAGCCTTTTTAATAAACTTGATGGTTTGTGGTTGTAAATGATTATTCAGGTTGTGCTGATTTCGTCATGTAAACTGCGCTGTAAGTAATAATTTGGTTTCTGTTCTCTTCTGTTTTCTAGCAGAGGATAAAGGCCCTGTCTTACCGCAGGCAGTCTGCTCCTTCTCTGGTCATCAGCAAAGCACTGACCAGATCCAGAACAATGTCCAGGTATGGAATGAGCTTGAGCCTATGTACATTTGACCACTGCTGTCATATACAAGATTAAATCTTTGCTTTTCTCCTGGTGGTGAAAATACAATGAAAGAGTGAATATTTACATGGTCCAGACCTGCTCTGTCTTCCATTTACTGTCACCATTTGTATTCATTCATGGTTAAAGTTGAGTTGGACTTGAGCAATTAAAAGAACCTTTCCAATTAAAAGAAAATCCAGTCTTTGTTAAAGTAATCCAGTGCAGCTGGCACTTTTTACAGTGCTTGTCAGAAAGCAGTTTTTTCCAGAACTCCAAGCTGACAGTGGCAGGAAATTCTTTTGAAGAGCAGAGAGAGGAAGAAACCCTGAGAGGAACCAAGAAAGGGGAACCCACTGTCCTGTGCACAAGACCGGATATTGGAATCATTATATAAGTAGTATAAGTTTACTCTGATCATACAGAGAAAAACCAGTGATCGGGTCTGGTAGACCATTGGGTTGTTTTGTCCAGTTATAGGAATGTCAGCTGAATTCGTCCACTGCTGGAGAGAAGATTTATGAGAAGGCTTATGCCCTGTTGCAGTGAATGTTGTTTTCCTAGTCTGTCCTCACAGACAGTGTGAATATGTCCATAACAGCATTTCCTCAATACAAGAATAAGGCCGTCCAGCACGCTCTTTGAATGAGTTCAGGTAAGACAGTGGTAAAAGTAGGGTGGTAGCGAGTAGTCGACAGTCTACTTGATGCATCTTAACACCTTAAATGGCCAAAGCCTGCCGGCAGGCCAGATGTTTCACTACACACTTCTATAACCTAAGAATAGCTCAACGAGTTTGCATTGAAGTCCCTGTAGGTACTGAATAATAGGCCTTGTAATCAGTGTGTAATAAGTCAGGGATTTTAAGGGGTTAAAGACTGACTGGTACAAGACAACGTTCAGGCTAATCTGGCAAGTACTGAAGTATTGAGCTGAACCTGAGATGCAGCATTTTTATGGCTCTATCTGAGACAATGCAGATGGTTTTGTATTGGACATTTTGTTGGAAATTCGACTTTCTCTCATTTCTCATGAAATAAACTTCCTCACTCCTGAAAGACAAAGAACAAACTAAAATCAAAAGTCCAGTGCCTGGAAATGCAGATCACCAACATGTTAATAAGGACTTAAGAAGTTGTCTATGAAGTACATAGCAAGTCTTTTAAGTTTTATTTCTCATGTATTTAACTAAAAAAGTAGGCAAAACCACATCAAAAGGAGGAGAGTGCCTTCTTTTGAGCCTACCACAAATCCCAATCAAGAGAAGCCACTCTCACGGGGATTTTAAGGAGTTAAACCTTCCTTAAAAACAACAGTGCCCTGTAGTGTTCATGTGATACACTAGGCATTTATGAAAAAAGTGTATGGAAAGTGAAAGTATCACTTGACATCAATAAGTAACATTAAAGCTGGCTACATGCTGATGACACATCTACGCAAGTCTACCTAGTCTTATGGTCTTTAAGAACACTTAAATACTTGCATGCATATTGTCATAATCATTGCACTGCACAGCATTAAGTCTCACTCAATCTCCATCCAGCAGCAACATGCTACTTCATCTTCTCCAGCAGTGCAGATCCTCATCTTTCTCAGCACTACTGCTCCTGAGCAGCCAAATGACTAGTTAATTTGCTGAGCAGTCAGATGTAGGGAAAGTGTTCTGCTAGCAGGTGAGGTGTAGAGTGGCAATTAGTGGTCCTTGCATGGAGAAGTACAAGTGTAGTCGTGAACAGTTTCATTTTACATTAATTTGAATTAGATTGGACATTTGGAAGACAAATAAATAAATGCATGGTACGTGGCTTAGTTTAATGCATCAGTGTGTGCACTGTTTTAACTTCCAAAGTAAGTTACAGGGCTGCCTTAAAAATTTCTAATAGTAAGTAAACAGTATTTGAGATGTAATTAACTAAAAATTTTAAGGCAGCACTTTTTTTTTTACAGTGTACAATCAGAGTTTTCTGTATCTCTGTTTTCTCTCACTATAAAATATGCACAAGTATTCCTTTGCTGTTGGTTGCACTGTGAACGGTCGCACAAGCCGATTCAGAGCCCTATTCTGTTTGGTCTTATTACTGACTTATTATTGTTTTTGTTTGAAAAGAGTAACAATAAAATGCAACAAATGTGTGACTTACATTCCTTATTCAAATGTTTTCTTGTCCAAAAAAGTCACAGAATAAAATAAAAATCGATGCATTTTCGAGTTTATTAGATCACATTCTATACATAAAAAAAGGCAGTAACAGCTTTGAGAAATCACATTATTGTGATATCACATCTAGCAGTAGAAGTGTAGCTTGAGTGACAGAAATAGCTGTTTTTAGAGGGTTAAAGGTCTACATGAAAATGAAAGTAAGTAACTTGTAAGTAAAAGTGTGATTGAGTGAGAGTGCATGTACCAATTGTGTTTCACTTTGTTCTGTCTGACAGGGTGATGCTAGTGATTTCGCTAAGAGTAGCGAATGTCAGTCCCCCACCATCACCACCACAACCCGCAGCTCATCCTGATCAAACTGATGTTATTCTAGGTTACAGCTCTATGGTTATGCTTTGGAATTTAATCTGAAGATTCAGATAGTTCTGTTACACAGTGCTTGGCTACAGCTGAGCTTGGACTGTTATGTAAGGTTTGATATGTTCGATGACACTTTTCGAAGTGTCATCTCACTTTTCAGCCCTATCATGTAAATCTTGTATGAGATCTGAACTTTCGTAGAAATATATCAGTCTTTAGATCTGAGCGCTTGATTTTGTTAAGACATTAGCCCTCCATGTGCGCTCTGTTTGTGTTTGTGTGTGTGTGCACCTGCATGTATGTGTGCGTGCTTGTGCATGTGTATTTTTGTGTCTCTGTGTTTCTAGGGAAGAAAGGCAGAGGATGTTTGGGTAATATTGTGGCGACTGTGGTTGATACAGTGGTTCGTTTTGACATCCTTAGCAGATGTGAACACGTCTGTAAACCAGTAGAGTGGGGAAATCGACTCTTGACTGAGAGTTGCAATACACCTAATAAGCATAATAAGCAATTGCATAGCTCGCATTCAGATGTGTCTCTAGGGGCCTGCTGAACCTGCATCAACTCTTATCTTTTTGCTTGTGAAGAAGGTCCCTCCGCGCGCAACACTGCTTTGACAATGAACTTGAAACTTGCAATCAAGGAACTGAGTCGCATTCTCACAGTGGCTCGGAGACCTAGAGTAACTCTATCAGCATTTGCAGGAGTTGCTAAGCTTCTCAGAAGGATAATGCTGGGAGGGGGGGGATATAGAGGCTAAATATAGGCCTTGGGCTTTGACCCGAGACACTCTGCAAGAGAATAACCTTGTTAAAGCAGCACTGGAGGTTCACTTTTTCCCACGTACTGGTGACCCTGTAGACGGCCACTTAGTGAGATGCCCATTAAACTATTTGTGTGTTTGTTCTTTTGTTAATCCATTGAGATTGGGCTGTATGATGTGTGATTATATTGCTGCATATTGCCAAGTATGACTTGCAAATTTTCTAGTTTTATTCTTAATTTTTCTTTCCAGTGAATCTGCAGTGATTAGTTTACAGTTTGCCAGATAATATTATTATTATTTATTTTAAATACCTTTACTGCTCTCTCTTACAGTAAGAGGAGGAGCCTGATGGAAATGGATTTTATGTACATCAGCATCATGTATTTTTTGTTGTATACATAATATACATAATACTGTCCAAAAGTAAGAGACCACCCTTCGATTATTTTATTATTAGTTATTCATTTTGCAGGAGATATTTCTGAGGAGATTGGATATAAAATATTCTACGGAAGAGGAAAGTCAAAGAAAAATAAGTGAAAAAACTGAAAAAAAAATGATCAAAAGATAAAGAGAAAATGGGCCTGCTAACAATCTTGCAAGACCTGGCAGACCACCAAACCTGTCACCATCAGATAAACAGTACTTAAGGCTTTCATCTTTGAGGGAGAGGAGAAAATCAAGCTCCACTCTTGATTCAAATCTGAAATAATCCACAGGTGTTTCTGTTCATCCTTCCACTGTGAGAACTCCACACTATGAGTCTGAAAGGATGTGCAGCTGTGAAGAAGCCCTTACTGAGAAAAGGAAATAAACAAAATAAAAAAAATGTTATTAAATTATATATTATTATATTTTTTATATTATATATTATTACAAATCGATGAATCAATAATGTGAAATAGTTACAGATTGTCCTCACTTCCATATTGAGGCCTCTTGCACTGTATGTATAGCTAAAGCCAGTATCATGAAAGGCCAGTATCCTCAAACAATATATTGTGCAGCCCTGTTCAAGAGAGTTAAGTAAGTATGTCACTTGTCAGGGCTTCCACATGTTTACACAGTGATCACTAACCCTTTGCTTAATATTTACCTGCCAGCACTTAATTCCAACCCATATCTTTCACACTTAATCCGGCTAATCGTGGTCTTCTCCAGACATTAATTAGTTGGATCAGGTGTGGTAAATGAGTGTTGGAAATGGATGGAGGTCCAAGAGAGAGGTTAGTGACCGCTGGTTTAGAATGACCCAGTTCTTGTATGTGGTATGTTACCAACTGTTATACAATGGGCTGTAATGTGGATTTATGATGTTGACGAGATTGCAACTCCATATTTAGAGACTCACTATATGGGCAAAATCCCAGCCTTGTGATTCTGTTACTGAGCATTGTGATTGCAATATGTGGAGAAAACACTTTGGTGACCAAAATAAATGACTTTCATTGATTGAGAGTCATCCACGCAAACATTTATATGGAACTAAGATTGGTCAAGATCCTCACAGTAAGCATTTTGACTGCTGACAAGGCTTGTTTTCATACTGAAGCATTTTTGCAACATGTTGCAAAAGCCAATATTGCAATATTGATCAACACTTTAAATGGCCTACCAATGGGTCAAAACCTACATAAACTAACATAGGAACAACTCAGCAATGCCAGTTTGCATTATAGTCAATGTAGTTACTGAAAAATAAGCCTTAAGAAGCCTGGGATTTTAAGGGGTTAAGAAACTGTACTGAAATGTATTGCACAGTGCTACCCTTATTAGGCTTTTTGCTTGTTGTAAATGAAAATATGTTTTGAACGCAGCCTGCATGCCACATTGGAGCCCCGCTTCACAGTACAGAGTGTGAGTTCAGAGTAAGATGACTGCAGCTTAGTGAGCGTTTTGTTTTGGTTTTTGCTAAATATGAGTCATGCACCAAGATGACTTGCAGGTTGGTCTCAGATATGACCTAACAAAGCGGGAAAGCAGACAATTGCCTGTAGGGTGTGTCCAAAGATGGACAGTGCGATTTGGGATTATTTTCAAGACAACCGGTACGTTATTTCATTTAAGCTTTTGAACTAATAGTGCAGTTATTAATCTTAAGACTTATTATTCAGTAAATGATATTAATTATGCAGAAACAGATGAAATTAATACGTAAGTTATGTACTCGTCATATGTGTTGGCTCACATATGGCATTTTAGGGAGTGTACTCTGGAAAAAGTATTGCATCACTTGCATGAAAAAGTATTGCATCACTTGCATGTTTCTTCTTCAAAGACCATTAACAGGTGGTTTTCATTTGTTCTCACTTTCCAGGGAGAACTGCCTCTCTCCGGTCAGCCCAGAGACCTGCCTCCTTGTGCAGTCCTATATGGCCCCGTCACGGATGTTTATCTCTCATGCCTATGCCCAGCTGAAGACTGGCCTGCAGACGCAGGAGAGACACATGTTCCTCTTCACCGACATCCTGCTCATCAGCAAAGCCAAGTATGTCTGCAGGGGAGCGGGGTGGGTGAAGGAATGGGAATGGGAGATATTAGCTTTAGGACAATGTTGTATGTTCTAGGACAGAGACAAAGCAGGAATGTATATACAGGAATATGTTTCATGGACATAAATTTCTGTGAAACTTCTATTCAGTTTGTGCAGTCTGGACAGCTAGGCTGTTTCCAGTCTCTTCTAACTAGCTGTATAAAATGCGTTGATGCATTGTGATGCATCAGTATGAAGGTGGCAATTCATCTGCATTGTTCATGAAATGTAAGAATGGATTATATTCAATTATAACAATATTCAGTAAAATATAATGGTCAAAATAAAATTCTCAGGGTATTTGTAAATGTAAAAATCCAAAAATGTAAGCAGTTTCTGCTGTCACATCTGTGCATTCAGTGTACTTTTAAAAATAATTCAAAACTGAGGTGAAATTGTGTTTAAATTTCATAATACATACATTTTCATAAAAAAAAATCACAAATTGTTCTGCGGTGATAGAGTTTAATCCTAGACCTTCCAACATTCTGAAATCACTGACAAAACTGAGGATGTGATTAAGCCTTGTACAACCATGAAATTTTAGCTGACAATTAATTGTCATATAAATTTGTATGTAACTACAAAAGTCCAAACCTGAGCTGGCTGATTAGCTGTCTAGCCGTCAATGCTTAGCCTCTAAAGGTGTTACAGCACCAGCCAGAGGTTAGAACTTTTATTGTTTTCATTAAACCCATGACGTCTCTCAATATACATGTTTTCTGCTCTCTGTTATTTACAAAGGTTTTGGACAGCTGGGAAAATTCTGTATAAAAAAACACTAATAGTAACACTAATAGAAAAACACTAATAGTACAATACCATACAAATAACTTTGATAAAATAATTAGTGATTTGACATGTTAATGTGCTTAAAACTTTTTCCAAACTTCTCCTTGTGGAAGCCCAGTATTAACTGTAGTTATGGTCTAATGTCTGGTTTGACTAAGCAGCTTATGTCTAACCTATCACAAAACAATGTCTTAGACATCAGGCAACATATTTGTAATCGTTTCATGTAATAACTTTTTATGCAGGAGGTACTAAACTCTTCAGATGTCTTGTTCCTATCACCACCATTGTGAACAGTTCTGAGTTTCTCTAGAACGGAGCATTTCACACCAGACCTCTATGAACGACTTTGTTTACATCTCTGCCATTTAGCTATGCTGAAATTTTGAAGATTTGGGGGAATTCCTTTTTAATAAGGACAAAATGACCTACATTTTGAACTGCAGAACTTTAGTACTGTCTCTGAACAGTGCACTGTTAGTCTGGCAAATGTCATTAGTTGTTCTCACAGAGGTTTTTTTTTCCTTAGCTTGCAAAAATGTGCTAGATCATAAGAGAACAACCTCCAGCTGCGATCCAGAAATATGACAGCGAGTAGTGAACCACAAGAGCAACGGCAGTAGCATCAATTATAGTAACAGCTATGTATGGGAGGGCACGGGTGAGTGCTAGCGGTGGGATGACTGGCGACATTCCTCCACCCTTTCTTTTCCTCTTTTTATTTAGTCTCATAGGATCTTGTGGCCCACATCCCCTTCCTTTCTCTGGGTGCCCTGAGCAGCCAAGGGGCCCTTCTCCATAATTACCACCCAGAGGGCCAATTAACTCAATCTGAGGCCAGCCTCAGGATCAAAGCCACTGGCAGCCTCTGTGAAGTCTGTGGGGCCTGCAGTAGTGAGCTTATCACACCGAACGTTCTCTTAATGTTGATTTTGCGTTATCACCACGTTAAGACTGGCGCTGCCGAGTCATGAAAGGAAGCGGGGCTTCCTACGCTGACCTATATTTGGTATCACATGCAGTCAAATACTGTAGCTCAGTCCCACTTTCACGTGCTGATGGGATAATAGGGACTTTAAAGGAATACGTTTTACTATGTAATCTCTATCTGACACATTTGTACCATACCGTTGTTCACCACTGACAATAATTTTGATGCTTTTTTGTTTTCCCTTATACTTACAAAAGAACTGAAACCTTTGAGTCGAATTCACTCTTATTAGAAGTCAATGGACAGTTGCTGAACTATGTCAATTAACGTTTGAAATATGTGGCCATATGTACCAAATTAGTTTAAACTACATAAAGAAAATATTTCAAAAAAAGTGAGCATTCAGACCTTAGATATTTACAGTGAATATTATATGATCTATTTAAATCCAAGACAATAATTGAGAAAGTAATAAGCTAATATACACAAAGTCATCATTTACAGGATACTTTCCAAATGTATTTATAAAACGCTGTCCTGTGTTTTCCTGTCACTACTGAAACAAAGAGTTTTAGTCAGTGGGCTTTATTTTAGCCACACCCCTGCATTTTAGAGCAGGAAGTAAGACCGCATCCCTGTCCCTCATGGCCACATCGTGAGCAGTTAGATCCCACTGTTCTGACTTAAATGTTTATATTTATGTTTCATTTTTTCCAGTATGTTAAACAAATATATAGAAATAGTACATTGTACAGATATGCATAAAATGCATATGTGTGTTCCCTGTAGAGGATTTGTTCACTTATTTTAACCTAAAAAATCAACAAAACGTTGTTTGACCGGGGGTGTTAAAGGTTTTGCATACGATTGTTTCATGAATACAAAACTACAGTTACAGTCTAACAGTGGTGATCCTAGGATGAGACAGACATGACAAAAAGTCTTACCGAAGCTAAAGTTTTGAACATTTGAGCACAACAGTAAAAGAGCAATTATGCTTACTTTCACTTTCCTGAATGTTTTCATGTACATGACCAGGTCATAAACTGTAAAAACTCTACAAGGTCTTCCTCTATAATGCTGTCCCCATTTGAAATTTATTGGAAATTACTGGCTGTCGTAATCAACTGTATGTTGCAAATGCAGCAGACAGATTAGACCGAGAAAGCATTCTTTTAAAGGGTTCTTGATGGGATTCTGAACTGCTGAATGCAGCTATTTAAATATGATCTTATTGCCTCACGATTGGCTCTTTAGGCCCTTTTGCAACCCAAGATAACCATAATAAGATGGCAGTTGTATTAATAATATTTAGAGAAGTCAAGAAACTGTGTTACTGCGCAGAAGAAGGTTGCCTCAAATCTGTAATAACAGGGTGCGGGCTGAGATCCTTTCATGGCACACCAATGATTTATGGATTACATGTCAAAGACCAGCTGGTTTTGATGTGTTTGCTGTTCTACTGAATTCTTTCACTGCCCTGTTGAATAAATAACGTGATGAAGGCAAAAATATGATACCATATTTTCACAATATTTGGTTTCCCTGAGGTTTGATAAGTTGGAACAGACAAATGCATCAGAAGTGACATATTTAAAAAAATGCTGTTAAAATCTATGAAAGCACTTTACATACTGTACCACACTACATCCATTAAGAGCAAAGCAAAAATGTAACTTTTTCTGCTGTTTAATCTGCTGTTCACTGTTAATAATGTGGTATCTCGGTGCTGTGGCTGCATTTATTTGACATGTTAATAATGTGATCCAACATTAAGAATTGTCACACCGAAACACATGGTTAATGAAAATATTTTGATTTAATGTGTGTATAGCTGCTGACAACGGTGTTTGGTAGTTGCATACTGGCTAGCGTCTTTGAGTTATGCTCAAAATTAGCTAAAATCATCACTACCGAAACATCACTACCGGTACTGTAATGATTGTTTTAGTAGAAATAAATTAAAAGTAAGCTGACGAGATGCTTCGTTGGATAGGGTTAAGCAGGAAAATTGGACTTCTGGCATGATTAGGATTCAAATTCATTGTCTCCCTACAACAGGGTGGAACAACATAGGAGTCACTTTAAACTTTGTTTTTAATGAAACATTCATCAGTGTTGTGGAAGTACTGAAACTACCTATATTATAATCATAAAAGCTTTTCTGTGATGTAAATAACATCATTTCATCATATCACCCAACCCACCCTATAGCTGATATAACCAAGACCTACCACTTTTGGCTTAGACTTTGAAGAGCACTTTTGAGCCAATAATAAGCATTTTTTTGGTGGATCATTACAATTCTGTGTAACCAAAAACTTTATACCCTGTGGCCTTATAAAAAGAAGATCATTTTCCCTGTCACTGTCCTACAGCAAAAACAAAAGAATCCCAAATTGGTTCTGTATGACAGTTTTAAAACTACAAAGTGCAGGAGACGGGGCCGCCTGCTTATGAGAGTGTCTGTAAACAAGGCCATGAGACAGCATGCAGATTGATCTGGCTTTCATTTTCTATTATAGACAGTGAAACAGTGAAATGACTGAGCGAGATTCTCGATAAAGATGGTTAGAACAGATGTGGAACAGGAACCGAAAGTGTGTTATGAATGTGCGTTTATCTGTGGGCACTGGGAACATCACTCTATTGGCCATGCCTATAGTGTGGTTAGATTTCAGTCTTGCCCAACACCTAAGACTAAAGCAATTCCTGGTAATGTTATATACAGCACTTACAGCATCATTGTGATAGGGCTTTGATAGGGCTAACATGTTACTGTACACATCACTAGCTGTTAACCATGAAGGTTTTCACTCTTTAAACACGTGTTTTTGTGAACAGATCTTCTACAAACTTCAAGCTGAAGGCACAGGCACGTGTTTGTGAGATGTGGATAGCGAACTGTATGGAAGAAGTCTATGAGGGAAGTACCAGTCCTGAAAAAAGCTTTGTCATGGGATGGCCCACTTGCAACTGTGTGGCCACATTCAGGTACAGAATACTCTCGACCCTCTGCCTACCATGGCTTGTCACTCTCAGCATAAAACATGTTTTATATGAATAAAATTTACACAATTTATCTATTATTCCAAATGTAGTCGATCAACCAAGATGTTTGATATGTGAAATTATCTTCTGTAATTTAATGCTGCAGTACGAGGCTAGTTAATTAGTTAGCTTCTTTAGTTTTGGGCAGGAGCACCGGCTAGTTACCAAGATAACTACTTAGCTAGATAACAAATGGGAAGCTTGGAATAAAAAAGACCCTCAAACAGCAAAGACCAGTTTGCTTTTTTAGTTTTGTCCTGGAGTACAAGGCTAGTTAATTAGCTTTAGCACAAGGCTAGCTAATTAGCCTCTTTAGTTTTGTCCTGGAGTACAAGGCTAGTTAATTAGCTTTAGCACAAGGCTAGCTAATTAGCCTCTTTAGTTCTGTAATGGAGTACAAGGCTAGTTAATTAGCTTTAGCACAAGGCTAGCTAATTAGCCTCTTTAGTTCTGTACTGGAGTACAAGGCTAGTTAATTAGCTTTAGCACAAGGCTAGCTAATTAGCCTCTTTAGTTCTGTACTGGAGTACAAGGCTAGTTAATTAGCTTTAGCACAAGGCTAGCTAATTAGCCTCTTTAGTTCTGTACTGGAGTACAAGGCTAGTATATTAACTTTAGCACAAGGCTAGCTAATTAGCCTCTTTAGTTCTGTACTGGAGTACAAGGCTACTTACCAAGATAACTGGTTAGCTAGATAACAAATAAAGGAAGTTTTGGATAAAAAGACCCTCAGACAGCAAAGACCAGTTTGCTTCTTTAGTTTTGTAGTGCAGTACAAGGCTATTAAAGATAACAATTAACAGAAGCCACAAATTAGCATTGTGCAAACTGCATGCCCTGCATCAAGCCATGTCAAGTTTTTAGATAATATCAAATAGTGTTGCTTATGGGGTTTCTGACACTGCGTGACATATTTTTATCTATAAAAATGTAAAACTGTACACCACTTGACTAAAAATAATAGCAGCAGCCATCCGCAATTTTGTATATTTCTGTAGATTATGTAGATTATGTAGATTTATGTAGTGCATGGAGCTTGCATGATGCTAATTAGTGTGGCATAAGCTTAGCTCGTAGAGCCTCGTAGCTCAAGTACAAAACCAGAAGTGAACGTCAGGCGCCAAACATGACCAACTACAGTTTGGCATAGGGATGATATTGCTAATTTGCTGAGCTGTTTCTTGAAGATGGCTTTAGTAATGAGAACTGACCTGTTTTTCATGCTGACTTTGCCTTTGTGAACAGCACTTACTAAAACAAACCCTGACATTAATACTGTATTAACATGGTGCACTCTGAACCACATTTAACAAGCCACCGAAGAGCATGACTGTATTCTATTAATAGCTTCCAAAGAGTGATAACGCTGCTCAGATGATAGTCCTTAAACAGTGGGCTTTATTGATGAAACTTTTTTATGCTTTTCCCCCGACAGCTCAGTAGAACAGAAGGAGAAGTGGCTCTCCCTTATGAAAAGGTACAGTAAGACCATGAAAAGAATGTTTTTCTTAAAAAAAGGACACAAAGTTGCCAGATAATTCTTTCTGTGTATTAAGCCAATGACATGCTGTCCATATTTTGTCAGTAATAGTGTCTGAGAAAACATGACTAAGTATGCGTACATTACTGATTGTTTTCTGTTGAATTTTATTCTGTCTCTGTTCTTATTTTCGGCAGTCGGATAAAAGAAGAGAAAGAAAAAGATCATCCAAAAACAATCCCTCTTAAAGTGCATGCCAAGGACTTGGGGAACTTTTCACATGTAGGTGTTCTTACGCTCAAGCAAGTATCTGTCTTAAGCGTATTGAAATATTAAGCATATTAAAATCTAATTGAATCTGCTCTCGTTGCCTAGAAAACCATTGCTGTGAGTAACACTGACAGCGCCAATGAAGTTACTCGTCTAGCTCTGCAACAGTTTGGCATTGTGGTGAGTTTCTCTACACAGTTTCTTCTGCTCTAGGCTTTTGCATTTGACTATTTAGAGGAGAGTCTGTGTTATTTGTGCCTGAAATTTTGTCCATACTCAAATACAGGCCAAGATCTTTCTGTCCAAGCTCAACTAGACCAGACCCCTGAAACAAACCCAAACTAGGCCACTCTTCTGTATCCAATTGTTGTTTTTTTTTCCCCCACTCATCAATTTTCTCATAAGCATAGGCCTCAGGGTCATGGACCTCGGTGCTAACTGTCAACAAAATAAGTGGGTGACTCCAGCATGCCAGATTAAATATGGTGTTAAGGTCGGGCCAACTTTGGCCTGTCAGGACATTTAATTTGGCCCTCCAGAAAGTTATAGTGTAATGTTACAAAATGCACTTTTACAAACATGATTTGAAACCTTACTACTTTTTTATTTATATATTGTTTGGTCTTTTTGGCCACCACAAACATTACCATTTGGATCCCCAAGACAAAAAAGTGGTAGGCTGTTTTAGGCAAAAGTTTGAACACTACTGGTCAAATTACATGTTTTGTTGATCTTCTAAGTGAAAATATGTTGAGACATCCTCTACAAGGAACTGAAATATGGCATTTTTCTGCAGATTTCAGTGCACAATTTCTATTTGCTGAGTTTAACATGGAAAAACCAAAATGTACCATAACTTTTGCACAAGCCACATTTAGTTTTTTTCCCCAATACATTAAATTCAGCAAACAAACAGTAATTGTGCAGAAGTGTGTTCTCTGTAGAGGATGTGTTAACTTATTTTCGCGTAGTAAATCAACCAAAACTTGTAATTTGACCAGGGGTGTTTGCATACCACTGTATATCTGAGAAATGTTGTGAGCAGCCGGGTCCCGTCGGGTTCGATAAACATTTCAAGCTCTAATTTATAAATATTCTTATATGAGTATGTTTATGAGTTCTCTGATGGCTCAGTTATGTTTAAAGGTCTACAGTGAAAAACATGAGTCAAAGCAGCAATGACTGCACAGAAATAGTACAGCTCACAGTACATAGAATTCCAGTGTATTTTAGTTACCTTTGTGTATATGTATAGCCTAACACAAAATATCTGTTCCAAGACTAGACATGCCCCCATAGGCCTCTTCATACAGGTCAGCTTTTCATCCTGGCACACAACAATTCCTTGAATGTGTTTTATTGTCTCTGGAATGCAGGGTTGTGTGAAAGACTACCAGCTGTGGGTGAGTTCCAGAAAAGACAACGCTCCGTACCCTCTCATTGGTGAGCTCGCCTTCATGCCTAAAAATTTTTTTTCAGGAGGTCATACTGTCATTCTGTAGGCATGAAGAGTCCATTGCAGTATTCAGTTTACTCACTGGGCGATAAATTCACTTTTAATTTTGTAATCTAAGGGATCTCAGCAAATGATTGTCTTCTTTGTCATGTTTGTATGTGTGAATATGTATAATTATGTGTGCTTATTATCTGTACATATTATCCAGTGTAACATTTTGCTATAGTATTTCTCCTTAAAGATCAATAAGGTTTATCCATCTATTTATCTACACTATATGTCCAAAAGTGTCCAGACACTCATTCTAATTGTGCAGGGGCACATTCTGCATTCTGTAGAAAAAAACTACATATATAACACAAGCTTGCCAAATGACAAGTTATTTACTGCACAGTGTTCCTAGTATTTAAAAATATGATACAATATTATTCAATTAGGCTACCTAAGTTACTATCCACATAAGTGGCTAACCTAACTTAAAAATGCCTTTTTTGCATTTCTGGTAGGCTAAGAATACATGTGAATACCCATATGCACCTACTGCTAGCCTCCTATTGAGAACAGTTACCATACAGCATAACTATGGCAACTGAAAACGTTTAAAAGAAAGACGCTGTGGTACTGTGGCAGTAGTGAATTTGCGTGGTCTTAATGTTTGTGTTGTATATTTTAACCCAAGGCTGAAACTGGAAACTTTACAGCTTACATAATGACTTTTTTCAATGATTATAGCAAGACACAGCAACATTTTATTACTCATTCGACATTTGACCTCACTAATGCTCTTGTGGCTGAATGCAAACAAATCCTCACAGCAATGTTCCAACATCTGGCCTTAACAGAAGAATGAAGGCTGTTTCTGCAGCAAACAGGCCACAAACTCCCTTTTAATCCATGAATTCAGAAGAAACACTGAGTGAGCAGGTGTCTACAAACTTTTGGACACATAGTGTATCTACACTAATATATATTTATATACTGTATTAGTGAGTTTGTATGTTTCTCTTTCATTTTGACTCTGCACAGGTCATGAGTTTCCTTTCAGTATACAGATGAGCCATATTCGAGAGCCACTGGGTCAAACAGGTGACAAGAGTGATGCAGTTAGTCCGCCTGACAAAGACGTGGAGTTCCTTTTCGATCAGTTACAGTCAGACAGTCAGTGCCAATTCATCCTGAAGCCAAGCAGAGTGGCTGTGGGCCACTCCTTTGTGGGTAAATGCCTTAATGTTTCCTGTTAAAAATCTGCAACCTTAGCAAAAGATTCATGTTTCTTTTTTATTTGGCATTCAATGTGCTTTTCATCTTCTTTCATTCTAAGTCGATCCAGACCAGAAGCCGTTCAAGAGACGGCGCTCGCTCATCAACTGGGCTTTTTGGCGTGGCTCTACCACTCAGCTGGATGACTCACCTCCATCACCGCTTCTTCCCACCACTGGTAGGCTCTTTGGCCTGCCGCTCAGTGTGGTGTGCATGGAAAACAGCCTCCCCAGGCCCATCATGGTGAGTGTGGGAATCGTATTCACAGTCGTGTTTATAAAAAAAAAAACAAACACGCTGAAGAGTCAGTGGTAAACCATGAGGCGACAAATTCACAGTGTCTAATTTAAGCGCGGGACACTTTGCATGTTTTCCTCCAATTTTACCAGCACAGACGAGCTGGAAATGTTCGAATTAATGACGGTTGGGGTGGCCAAAGGCTGCAATATGCTGATTAAAACTCTAACCAATCACAAAATTGTTTATGTGCTGTGAACATCCTGACCAAACACAGATATATATGCTGTCGACATTTTGACAAACAAAAGTGTGCACGTAATCCAACAAACCTCAATCATTTTTTATCAAAATAATGCAGCTAGTCTTTAACCACATCAAGGATTCACCAGAAAGTTTTCTTACATCCTGACGTATATCTTAATCACAAGATGTCACAAAGAATCATGATAAGGGACACTCTTAGCAAAAAGGGTTCTTTATAGACCAATGTACAGAAATAGTTCAATTGGTGTTTTATTTAAATCCGAGACATTAATCGAGACAATAATAAGCTAATTGTGCAAAAAAAAAAAAAATTAACCATTTAAAAATGTTCTTTAAAGGACCATTTACAGGTTTTCTGTAACTACTGAAGGGCAGTGTTTATAAGGCTACACAACATAAATGACATAAACCCGCTGAGACATTTATAAAGGTTTATTCCAATAAGTGCAGTTGTCATAGAACATGTTGAGACGAAACGAGATCAAAATGACGAAAAGCAGCCTTTATGCCACTCACACTTGTTGGAATAAGCTTTTATAAAGGTTTAGGTCTGTGTCAGTTGTCATTTAAGGCTTATGTAGGTGTCATGTAGCCTTATGGAGGCTGCCATTCAGTACAGTGTTAGCAGGTTTTCCATCATATAGAAGAACCTCATAACCTTGTAAAGAACTACTTATGCATTAAAATGTTCATTTGAGTCATCATGGTTTTGTTTCTGACAATTGATTTCTAAAGAATCCTTAAAGAGCCACTTTTTTTAAGGGAGTAGTTTGTCCATATTCCACCCTAGTGCTGATAGGCTCTCATAGAAGCCTTGAACACATGTAGCTTTCTACTTCCTTAGAAAGATGATTTTTTTAATATGGTCATGTATCCTCTCTCTGGTTGACTCTTTCATCTCAGAGGTGGTTCGTCTGACTCATGCCTCCATTGATTTGTAGTGGTAGGCTTTTTGTAGTGGTAGGCATTTTTGAACCTGCACAGTGGTGAAAATTTTATGTATAGTTGCTGGAGTGGCGGTTCACACTGCAAATTAAAAGATGAAAAGTTTTCGGTTTCAGTTTCCTACTTTTTTTTCAGTTAAAGTGCTTCCCTTTGGACCAATTTTTATTAAAGATTGTACTGTAAAATAGGGCTACACAGTGTTTGTTAAATCTTAGCACAGTACTTTTGCAATACTGATACAACAAAAGTCTGGAATTTGCAAATGAGCCCTTTAATAAATTACAAAAAAATGGAAATGTACGTGTGGTGAGCATCTTGAACAATGTCAGATGTTGGAACAAAACCTTGAATCTCCAAAATGGCAAAAATGTTGTTGCTATAAATACAGTACAGTGTTTTGTCCCTCTCATGCAGTCCTACTGTAAAATATATATCTGGCTTTATTTTCTGTCTCTAGGACATGTTGGTGTTTCTGTTCCAAGAGGGGCCGTTCACAAGGGGAATCTTCCGGCGCTCTGCCGGGGCCAAGGCCTGCAGGGAGTTGAGAGACATACTGGACTCTGGAATCCAGGACATTCAGCTGACCCGTCAATCCATCTTTGTGATTGCTGCTGTCTTCAAGGCAAGTTTTATCCTGTGATATATGACTAGAACTGCAGAATATATTAACGGTACAAAGTAACATGGAAACCTTATTTTGCATAGTGGCTCCTGATCTGTCCAAGGTTGTGGTATTGGCTTGTGTGTGTGTGCTTGCTGTTAGTCTGTGTATCTGTGTATCTGTGCGAGGATTTTCCCAGAATAAACCTCTGTTTGTGTTTTTGTATGCGTCAGAAAAGGTGGCATATGTGTCCCACATGTTGACGCTAGTTCCAGTTTTTACTGGAAAAGCACTTACATAATACTAGGCAGATGATGATTTCTAACTTGGTTATTACGTACATAATCTTCTTAATTAAATATCTTAGAAGCATTTATTAGTGCTGGTAACTGAATTAAGTTCCTTGGATATGCATGAGTATCATTAATCGAATTTTCTCAGAGTATACTGACTAGTGCGAAACCCTCAGGGCCTTCTGTGAAATTAAATATTATAATATAATATAATATAATATAACATAATATATATAAGTTAATATATTCAGCATGCCTTTTGTAATTAAATGCTGAAAGTATTGTAGTACTGCTCTAAATTCTTTATTAAGTTTTGTTTGGAAACTTAAGATCTCGAAAAGGCCGACAGAAAATTGTCAATTTTTTTTCCATGGCATCTAGGTTGATACAGCCAATACCATTGGTTAGGACTTCAGTAGCTGGACTGAAGACCTAATGTGTCAGATCAACCACCAACATAATTAGGAAGTGACAGTAGAATCAGCCAGTTGGATTTTGATTTGTGCTGGGTGGGATCAATTGTGAGAAAAAACCTTACTTTATGCTTTTTTTTTAGAAGTTGTAGATATGTCATAGACTGTGAACACAAGTGGTAGCCTGATTGCATTTTAATCAGGTGTTAGCAATGGAAAACAGGAAAGGCTCTTTACCAGAAGGCTGTACTGAAAGGGTCACTGTAAAATAGGGCTGAACTATTTGAGGAAAATATCTAATTGCGATTTTTCTGAGTAATATTGTGAGTGCGTTTTATATTGCAATTGTTTTCTATAAATTAAGGTTCTGACATGTTTTTGTTTTACCAAGAAAACTAGAATATCCACTCTTTTCTGGTTTGAGGCCTGACCCTTTAAAGTAGTGTGCCAGAAAGCCAATAAATTGTGAACACATGGAGGTTTGGTTGCCTCTGAGTGGCCTCACTCTACAGGCAGTGTACAACTCTGTGTTATTAGGTTTAATTTCCCCTCTTAAAACTTAAGAAAACATTTTTGATAATGTAAGCTATAATTAAAAAAAAAATTGCAGCTCCTGCGATTTGAAAATTGCACTCTTAAATTGCGATTTTGGTATAAAAACTATTAATCTTTCAGCTCTACTGTAAAACTGCTACAAGTTAAAATATATGTTAATATGACTGTTACAGTCTTCAGATGTTTGTGTTCAATCTAGAACAGCTAAAAATAGTTTATGTGAATTGCTGTTAGCTTAGTGTTAACATACTACTACAATCGCTAACATATTTCACTAACAGAAATAATAGTCACAGCTCGCCACTGGTATTTACAAATGTTTAATAATAATAATCAAATGTATTTATTTTATACCTGGTAATATAAAAGAAGTAAAATAACAGGAGAAAAGATAAACTTTGTGTGTTGTGTGTAGACTAAAAAGATATGCTGTCAGATGTTCCTTAACATTAAATGTACCAAACCTGACTGTCTAATTGTGAAAGGTCACAAGTTTCAGTTTAGAAAGTCAATAACAGAACAAGGCCTCTCAGCTATTTCTGTAAATCACCCAGGGTTTTTACAGAAAGACAGTATCTGTAGATGTAAGATTACGTGGTGGAACATAAACAGACAGACATTTAGTGAGTTACACAAGTGCTAGGCCACTAACAGCTTTAAAAACAACTTAAAATCTGTCCCAAAGAAATAGGTAAGCAGTAATGCAGGAAGTCCTTTTATTTGTTGTTCCAATAAATTGCATTTTTATGCATTGCTGCTGAATGTAAAAGGTGTTTTAAACACCTCAGTGTCACTGCTGGCTTGAGAGGTGTCTGCCAACCACAACTGTGCACAACAGTGCTCCTGTAGCTAGTAGCCGGGGCATCATGCACTACCATGTCAGTACCATGTTGAAATCACCGCTGTGGCAAGAATGGCCCACCACCCAAATAATCTCAGGTCAGCGGGGATCCCCTTCCATAAACTAGATTCAAGGTTCGGATTTGAAGATTTCTGAGCTATGTAATGCCTACAAGGTCAGTAATTAAAAGTGATGATACATTTGGATATGTATTGTAGGTGTAAATACTAAACCGGCCAACTATGTATAATTAAATATTTAATGTCATCCCATGAGTAAAAGGAAAAATATACCAAGTAAAACTCACCTGTCACTGATGCCAGTGTTGCATCCTGTATATGTACTGTACTGATATTACTTTAGCAAGGTTACATGAGTCATGTGGTGTGATCGTGTTATCTGAAAGGTAGTGATACATTTAATCCTCTCTCCAGTTAAATACCCTTAAGCTGTTCTGAGAAACTGTCAGTCAAATTAAGAAGTGCTCAGTAAGTGGCACATGATCAGATCTAAACAGGTGGCACATGTAACTTCACATGGATCATCGTAAGCAAATATCAAAATATTTCATGGTTTCATTACCTGCGCTTATATAAATATATATATTATTAAATATATTAAATACAAGTTATTACAAAAAAAACAAGGTTTATGAGCATTTATGAGCACCTATCACAGTTACTGTTCAGTGGAGTTTAGATCAGCGTTCTGCGCAAGCCACTAGAGTTCCTCCACCCATCAAACTCTTAATGTATCTCACTTTATACACAGGGGCTCAGTCGTGCGAGAACAGGAGACAACCTTCCCCAAACTGTTGCCACAAAATTGGAAGCATATAATTGTCTTTGTAAGCTGTAACATTAACATTACCTTTCACTGGAACTAAGGAACAAAGCCTAAACCCTGAAAAACAGCCCCAGCCCCTTCTAATAGTAGCACTTACAGTTGACAGGAGCAGATCTAAGGGCAGAAATGTCTTAGAAGTTGGTTGTATTTACTGATTCTCACAATCCAGTCCAACCTGTGGATTTTTTTCATATCTGAATCAGGAGTGGAGCTTGATTCTCTCTTTTTTTATCTTTTATCTATTTTATCTCGCTTGAACTTATTGGCTATTAACTGGAAATTAATTAAATGAAGGGTAGTCTCTGACTTTAGCACAAGTAATTCACTCCAAAGTTAATAATGAATAGCATCACTTATAATCAGTGTGGATAGGATTCACTTTAAATGGATATTATCTATTATCTATGTGTACATAATGCAGGACTTCCTGCGGAGCATTCCAGGCAGCCTGTTACTGTCAGAGTTCTATGAGAAGTGGATGGCCACCATGGATATGTCTGATGAAGCAGATGACAACCAACTGAAGGCCATTCAAAGGTACTTTAAAATGACCTTTCAATCAGGACTTCAGAATCTCAGAAATCCAGAGCTATAAATTGTTAATCATTGATCTTTATTTCTGTCTTTCAGTTTGGTGGCGTCTCTTCCCCCTGAGAATATCCTGCTTCTAAAGCATGTTTTGGCAGTGCTGTATAGCATCCAGCTCCGTGCCCAAGACAACCAGATGAATGCCTTCAACCTTGCCGTTTGCATTGCTCCCAGCATGCTCTCTTCTCCTGCACCCAGCAGCCCTGAGATGGAGGGAGAAGGTGCCAAAAAGGTGAGGTGGTCTTTCGTCCAGGTTACCAGGCACTAGCTTTGTTTATCCAAATACAGCTCATATGACCCTGTTTCTTTAGGTTCAAGAATACAAAATATTAAACCTTACCAAAGTCCATCTTCTTTTACTAATCATTATGAAAAATGTTTAAAGTAAATAGACGGGAAGAAGGATTGTCTTGTTTCAAGTATTTGACAAGAAAAAAGAAATATTGACAGGAGGATTCAGCTGTTATTAAAGTAACAAATTACTAGACCGGTTATAATAATTAACAGTTATCTGAAGGTTGGCTATATGTAAGCCGAACCACTCCGTCTTTACATCCTTATTGTTCTACAATTTTTTTTCTGCTGTGCTGGAGTCAAGACGACTTCTTTTACTGATTATCACCTCCCCAGGCTTCACAGGGAACTTGTGTTGGCTTATGAATATTTGTTGCTTTCTCTCTTATCAACACCTCAAACAAAGATGTGTTTGAACTACAATCTGGGAATATGTAGGTGAGCCCTTTTTGCATCTGGCATCAGATGATTTACTCTGCCAGTGCGTCAATCATAGGTTGAAGCTCCAGGATTCAGTGGCTCACTGACATGTTCTGTTATCTATGATCACATGACAATTGCATTTGAACCACACTTGGAAGCAGTGCTTGGAAACAGCTTTGCTTTGAAAGCTCCAGAAACAGCATCAAAAACAGTATATGATATATACTATACGATATGGTGGTATCGAGCATCCCATCACTTCTGAAACGTGATGGAAGTTTACATTACAGTATTACCTAAAGAAAAGAAGTATTACATATAGAAAAACATGAGACTTCCATAGTTGTGAACAAGAAAATGAATAGAAATTTAAGGCAGGAAAGAGAGAATTCTCCTCTTTGTCTTTAGGTCTTAACAAAGAGCATAGTAAAGATAATTTTGCCTTATTGTTGCTTGAAGGCCAGCTGTAAAGGACACTAGACTATGTCCAGTATTGTGTTAAAAAATGAGTTGTGATCTAGTAAATTTTCATCATTTTCCTTTTGGACAAAAGACAAGACAGCTTGCGGCGTCTTCTGTGTTGGTTTATGCTTTCAAAAACTAATTTCATACGCTGTGAAAGCTGTCACCCACTGTCCTCCATATATCCGCTTTCTTGTATAAGGCTCTCATTTTACACATTTTGTTTTTGTTTTGGAGATGTTTTTGAGCTAGTTGCTGGAAGCAGCAGCTCACTGGGAAATATTTCAAGCATTTCCTTCAGATTCTTGAGGTCAGTGCCATTCTCACAGTATCCGTTATGATGGAGCTCTCGCCTCTTGCGGTTTGTTTGGATATGCGTGTGGTGGCCTGTGTGTTGCCGTTCAGCCCAGAAATTTTTAGATTTCAACATTCCCCAACGACACTGATCTTGGCTTCAGCACCGCCTAAGTAAACCATTGCAAGCACACTCTAATCTCTGACTGAATTTATGTGTGAGTTCTTTTTTACTGCAATAGCACAGTTATTTTTCTTTGAGGAAATCGTAAAAGCCTGGGATCCTGCCCCCCAATTCATCTCTTTCACCAGCTTTTGTAATGTGTTGGTGTACAATTACACACTGTGCTATAAACTAAAGGCTTTTTGTCTAGGCTGTTGACCAGTGCCATCTGACTAACTTTTTTAAACTGAGGGCTGTTTTATGAAATATCCTAATTTTTCAGAAGATAGTGTACATGCTGCAGTTCTGGGGAAGAAGTGAATGATAAGAGTGCATCACATTGTGATTGGCAGATTTTTAATTACTCTGTGTTCCAAAATTTGTATACATGTGTGCTAACAAAGACTGAAACAATTTGTTTTTGAATGAATGTTTTTCCAAGCATCATCCGTCCTTGACATTTTTATGGTTGGCACTTCTTTTTTCCCCCAAGAGACACGGACTGCAAACACTTTTCGGTAAACAACTAAGAAATCAAAACAGAATGTTGATGCACATCTGTTGGGTTTAAACAGAAATCAAACCAGGATAAAGCTAGCCTAAGCATCCCCTGTTGACATCATCTTGCTGCTCAATGTGTGTTTCATTTTTTCCTCGTCTAGAAGGATTAGTAAACGAGATTTACAAACAAAGCTGGCCTCCAGATCTGAATTTCTCTGCATTTCTGACAAGAATTAACCTTTGAGATCTCAAACTGGAACAATGAATTCTTGAGAATTTCGCCCCGATTTTTTTTCCTGGGATTAATTTGCATTTAATTCCATTATCTACATTCTAAGCAAAAAGGGTTCCTTTTTGCTATATAGAACCAGTTTCCAAAAGGTTCTAAAAATAATCATCTACAGCAGGTACTTAATCATGGTGAATGACTATTTAATCATGCAAATAACTAATTAAGGACTCAAGTGGTTCTTTGAGTTGTCAAGGTTCTACATAAATGATATGTTTTGTTGATTTTCTAAGTCAAAATAAGTTCACACATCCTCTAGAGAAAACAAATATAAATATGGCATTTCTCTGCAAATGTTAGTGCACAATTCCTATTTATTTGCTGGGCTCAAATTTAGGAAAACAAATAAAACAAAAATATAAAATGTGCCATAACTTCTTAACAGGCCACATGTTGTTTTTTTTCCCCATACGTTCAATTCAGTAAATAAACAGTAATCGAACACTAAAATATGCAGAAGTGTGTTCTCTGTAGAGGATCTCTTAACTTATTCACACTTAGAAAATCAAGAAAAGATGTCATTTGAGCAGGGGCGCCCAAACTTTTGTATACAACTGCATAACCATTGCCTTTTCTATAGAATCTCCCTTTTTTAGGGGTGTACGTGTTCTAGCAAAATAAGCTTGCAGTGCTGTACAGTTCCACAAAATGATCATTTTATTAATAATAAAACATATCTATTATAAACATTCTTGTCTCTTCTCAGGTCTGTGACTTGGCACGGTTAATGATTGAAAATTGCAAGGCAGTAATGGGAGAAGATGTGACCACACTGTTTGATGGGTTTCCTCAAAGATGCAGTATAGATGGTCATGGTTCAGGTAAAGAAACTTTCCCAGACTCTTTATTTATATTCCCAAAAGATTTAAATCATATGCTACACATATTTTTCACAAACTGACCCTGTTTTCCTTTCTGTACAGATGTGTCCTCTTACCAGATGACAGACTCTTCGTATGACAGTCTTGAGAATGAACTGAATGATGACTCTGGATCACCCTTCCAGCCCATGCAGAGGTCGCGAGGGAAGCCAGACAGTCGCAGCTGTGACTCAGTGCTCACCCTCAGTGACTGTGACCTGGACCAACCTGAAACTGACCCAGACAACACCCTTTCCACTCACCTCTTGCTTCCCCCACTAACCCATCCTGTAAAAACTAGCCCAGCAGTGAGCCCGTCCTCTCCTCGCCCCCATTCCCCATGTGAGGTACCTGTTTTGTCACAGGGAATTCGTCAGCTGAGACGTTGTTCTGAGCCCGCCATCTGGAACGCAACCTCATCTTTGAGCAAATACCTGGAACAGAGGGGGAACCGAAAGGGCAGCTATGACGGTGCAACAAGCCAAGGCAAAAGCGATGCAGCCGAGATGTTTGCCAAACATTTGAAAAATCTGAGGTTGGACAAGCAGGACAGCTCCAGTCAGAGGGGTCAGAGTGAGAGGGTTGTCCCCCGACGACGAAAAGAGCAACTTAAACCTCCGCCTCTGCATCTAGACGCCAGCTGCTCAAGTCTTTATTCTCCCGCGGCTTCCCCAACACGATCTTCAATGAGCTCCCTGGATAGTGCTTTCTCTCAGCACTCGGCCGACTTTGCCAAACCTTGCTCCCAACCTGTAGGCAGCTTCAAGGCAATAGTGAGTTCTTCTCCCCGATCTCCTGGCATTGTGTCCACACCTTCACCTGGCCCAACACTTCCTTCTCCAAAGGAATCTCCACCTAAAGAGAAATTTGATTGGAGCCAACTGAGGAGCAGTCATGGGCTACACCCAAATACCTGGCTCAAGAAAGACCACAGACTCTCCTTGTCGAAGGACAGAATTGGCCTGGAAGACGAGGAAACTGGGGATCCACATCTCCAATCTGAGGTTTCCTCCAAGATGGGCCACAGCAAGGAAAAGAGAGGTCAAGAGTCGAGCATTTCAACTTCTATGAAAGGGTCAAACAGCCCTCCTTCCTATGAAGAAGCCATGCTACAGACACAGCACAGCAGGTCAGTTTATTACCCTGCCTCAGAGAAACCACTGACAGTCAAAGAACTGAGAGAGCTTCACAACCAGGCCTGTTCAGTGCGCAAGACGACAAGGTGTTTTCAAAAGAGCACATATAACCCGACAGCAGGTGAGAACAGCAACCTGCCGAAGTCGTTGTTCTATGGGCAGAGTGGTCGATGTTTGGCAATGCACAGGCAGAAATCATACTCCCTCATTCCTGTCGAAGAGAAGTCTAATGGATGTCCTTCCAGTCAGCGACGAGCATCTGAACCCGGAGGGACTTGCCTAGGGCTGGACAGAGAAGCTGCAAAGAATCTGGAGCATCTCCATAGGCAGGCTATAGGAAGACAAGATGGAAGTTCACTCTCTCACCCTCATGGACTCAAGGTGTCCGATGTGGAACCTCATGACAAGGCTAGTGAACCCCGGTTTTGCTTGTCCCCTGCTGCAACAAAGGCTGTAAGGGACTATTTCTCTTTCCACGGAGGTGAAGACCCCCAGAGTAATCTAAAGAAGAGTCAGGAAGTGGCACTGGCTGTTGTCCATGGCAAACGGGAATGGATGAGAAGGTGCAGTGACCCACGGCTGGAGGACTTCGAAAAAATGCTTTTTGCGGAGGAGTCTTACGTTTAAGTGACTGGCCGTTTCCCAGATTCAGTCCTGGAGTGTTTCTCCCTGCTTTGATCACACCTGAATACATCTGTTAATTTTTAATTGTACACCAATCAGGCATAACATTAAACCACCTCCTTGTTTCTACGCTCATTGTCCATTTTATCAGCTCCACTTACTATATAGAAGCACTTTGTAGTTCTACAATTACAGACTGTAGTCCATCTGTTTCCCTGCATACTTTGTTAGCCCCCTTTCACCCTGTTCTTCAGTGGTCAGGACCCCCATGGACCCTCACAGAGCAGGTACTATTTGGGTGGTGGATCATTCTCAGCACTGCAGTAACACTGACGTGGTGGTGGTGTGTTAGTGTGTGTTGTGCTGGTATGAGTGGATCAGACACGGCAGTGCTGCTGGAGTTTTTAAACACTATGTCCACTCACTGTCCACTCTGTTAGACACTCCTACCTTGTCAGTCCACCTTGTAGATGTAAAGTCAGAGACAGTAGCTCATCTGCTGCTGCACAGTTTGTGTTGGTCATCCTCTAGTCGTTCATCAGTGGTCATAAGACGCTGCCCACAGGACACTGTTGGCTGGATATTTTTGGTTGGTGGACTATTCTCAGTCCAGCAGTGACACAGAGGTATTTAAAAACTCCAGCAGCACCGCTGTGTCTGATCCACTCAGACCAGCACAACACACACTAACACAGTGCTGAGAATGATCCACCACCCAAATAGTAAAAACAGATGAACTACAGTCTGTAATTGTAGATGTACAAAGTGCATCTATATAGTAAGTGGAGCTGATAAAAATGGACAATGAGCGTAGAAACAAGGATGGGGTCATAGTGTTATGCCTGATCGGTGTATTTGGTGTGTTCGATTAATTAATAGGTTCTTGATGATCAGGAAATCACAGAATATGCTAGGTTCTCTAGGACTGTGGAATTAAGAGAAATACAGCTGTAAATATTATGATTGGAAGCAGGTGTGGTCTGGTGTATACTTACTTTCCTCTGCCATGTCCTTGTAAATGTAAATGTAATTCTTTTGATCATCTTATTTGTAATTTTGGAGTGTCCAGTCTTTAAAGGCAACTGTGATTATCTGCTGCACTTCTTATAAGCGTCTGGATTATCTTAATTATCAATCCGATCAAATGTACTGAAGTGGAACGCGATGCCACACTAGACTAGGTGTTTGCATTATCTTACTGATTAAATAACTAAACGCTGTGCTAAGTAAAATAAAAATATAGACCGAACATAAACATAGACGTTGACGTTTATGATAGATTGACTTCTCTGATGTTTATGTTTCCAAAACCACTTGGATCCTTAATTGATACTCTATTTTCAGTAGCCCTTGCAGTGTAAGTGTAGATGTAGTTTAGCTTACTCTAGATCCATTCTTACTGTTACATCAAAACAAAACTGGTTTTAGAATGGTTAGCTTTAGTATATTAAAAGGATTAATATAATGCTTGGTGTTGCAAAACATTACAGTGTGTAGATATGTAATTAGTTCTGTATTTTCTTGTGCAATTTTTGTGACCACTAAAGTTTCCTGCATTATTAAAAGAACAGTTTGGTGAGAAAACACATTTACATGACTTTCTACTTACTCTAAACGCAGTTCAATCCGCCAAGACATGATTGGTGTCCAAATTTCCAGAGCACTGGAAATTAATAATCACCCAAACTATCGCTGTCAATACATGCCCAAAAAATCAGTCAGCTCAAACCACATCGAGGTCTTGATGCTGGTTGCACAGATAAGCTGTTGTGGTTTAGAATACAGTATGACTTATTATGACTAACTCGTAATTTTTTTTAAAAAAGTTTACGTAGATTATCCATGTATGATCATGTATTTGTGGAATCGGTTTGGGTGATTATTGACTTCCTGTGTTTATCACTGTTAGCCTAGCAGCTCCAGTGCTAATCCAAAAAAGCAAAGTTAACACACCAAAACGTCTTGACTGATCAACTGAGTGAAAAATCATGTTTTTTTTTTGCCAAACTTTTCCTTCAAGTGTAAATAATCAACTAGCGCATTTTCAGTAGGTTTTGATGAGAACTTTATGGCTAACATTATACAATTAAGACGAAGGGCAGTTTGTCAAATATATGATGTAAATTTCCTACCTGATAGATGCTCGTATGAAAACAAATAAGCCAATCCTAAGTTTGTGTGCAGTAAGAGAATATCACATCTGTAAGTAGTGTATTTATGCTTTAGACATATATTTTTCAAGAATCTAAGACTATGAATAGTTATGGTATGAGTGTGAATGAATGCTGGTGTGCATAGAAAGCAGAGCCAAATCTAAAATGTCTTAATGTGCAGAGTATTTTGTTTTTCAAAATGATATATTGAGATATTTCATATTTTTTCAGTAACATTGCTGCCAATCCTTTGTACATGTTTTACCTTATAGGGTGATTATGTGTAACATGGTACCAATTGCATATCGATATAAAATACTGCACCTCTGCCTGTCTATGTTTATATGACGTTTGTGTCTGTGTTCATATGATGCTTTTATTTATATTTATGTAAAGCTTCAAATAGTGTCTTAAGGCTATAATGCATTTATGAACAAGCCTTTGCAGCTGCTGTCTTAAGAAGGTATTTGCAATTGCAACAGACGACTGGTCATTTGTATCTTGTGGTTTGTAACGATCATAATAAAATGTCACATTTATGAAAAATATCACCTCGAGAATATATGAATATTAGCCTTTACACATTTATACACTTTACAGTGTTACTTCATAAAGTGTGATCATGGTATAGGGATCATTCTACCAAACTGGTTCAGAGTTGAAAACTTTTAACTGACTTGGACTTTCCTTCTGAGTGACACTACACCTTAATTATGTTTATTTTCTGAAAATAAATGAACAAACATGAATGAACAATTGTAACACTACAGAAACTTAACCAATTGTTTCGGTACTGACTGTTTTGAGACAATTTTATCTAATTTTGAGAAGAACTCAAAAATGCTAGCCAGTACATGACTATCAAACACAGCTTTGAACAGTTGTACACGCACAAAATCGTAATATTTTTCATTAAAACAAAAAAAGATTTCTAAATTGCTGGAAATGTGTTTTGGTAGTGACAATCCTTAAAGTTACAGATTGATTTTCAGACTTTGGGACACATTTACTTCAAAACAGTTGGATCTAACTGCTCACCATGTGGCCATGAGGGACAGGGATGCAGTCTCACTTCTACAGGGGTGTGGCTAAAATAAGGCACCACCTATGAACTAAAGCTCTTTGTGTTTCAGGAGTGACATGAAAAACGTGGAACAGGATTTTTATTTAACAATTAAATTCATGATAAATCTAAATGTTTCAACTTCACTTTAAATGAAATGAAAAAGATCTTAAACAATAACATTGCTAAAAGTATGTAAGTATTGCTTTCTTTACAAGTTAAAATTTAGGGGTTAGGGATTGGCATGAACACTTCCCAATAGAAAGTATAAATATATATATATATATATATATATATATATATAGTTGATTATATGATTATTAATAGCAGTTATTATTAGGGTGGTGGGTCATTCTCAGCACTGCAGTGACACTGATGTTGTGCTGGTACGAGTGGATCAGACAGAAGTGAACTGCTCTGTGGGGGTCCTGAACATTAAAGAACAGGGTAAAAGGGGGCTAACAAAGTATGCAGAGAAACAGATGGACTACAGTCTGTAATTGTAGAACTACAAAGTGCACCTATATAGTAAGTGGAGCTGATAAAATGGACCATGAGTGTAGATATAAGGAAGTGTATGTAATGGAGTGCTCAGTGAGTGTATATATAGCTTATTAAAAGGAATTCTCTCAATAAATGCCTTAATCTGATGATGACAAGTTTGGTGGCCTACCAGATCTTGTATGGTTGCTAGGAGTCCCATTTTGACTTTCAATTCTTTCATTTTTTGAACTTTTATTCACTTTTCCTTTGACATTCATCTTCTTTATGCAAGTGAAATATATCTAAAATCAGTAAAAGCTATTTTAGATGCACATGAGAACAAAATCTGCATGGAGTTAAAGTCTGTTTGTGTAGTTGCTTGTGTGAATGTTAGTGTCTCTTTGAAGGGGAACATAAGCTGCATTCCAAAGGCCAGACTGCAGGTGCCTTGTTTGTGTTACATAGTGCAAAATGGAATGGTCTCCCAAGATGTTGTCCTGTCATCAGAGAGGAAAACTTGATGGAGAAAATTCACTTGATGTGAATTATGAACTGGCAAGCAAAGCAAAACTGTTAAACTCACTGAAAGTAGGTGGATTTTACACCCTGTATTCAGTTTACACCCTCTAAACAGATACACAACTACAGAAATGACATACTGTATATTTTACTATACATTTTACAGGCCTTCTTAATAAAGTGTAGTAGCTGGTTTCATCTGCTGATCTTTTATCGGGTCAGACGCGTACGCAAAGAATTATGGGTGACAGAAGAAATAGAATGTGTGCTGCAGTTCTCTGCTGTATTCGAAGGATCCTTCTGATTGGAACAGCCTTGGATGATGTAGTGGTCTAGAAATGCAGCCCACCTGGACCACAGGCGAGCTTTTGGATCGCAGTTATAATGTCAGTGAGTGCTTTGGGAACAGCTTTTGTTAAGATGACACAGCTGGAACTGGTTGTTTTTAAGTTTGGAAGGATAGAAGTGTTAAAGTGGCAGCAGAGTGCACAAAAATAAAAGTGTGCACAAATTAAATACTGATACTGACGGATTTGATGTTATACATAGTGTTGGAGGCTTTTGTGTAATTTAAATAATAAATATATGAAAGGCTTTTTTTTTCCTTTTTGTTGGGAGTGAACTTTACATATACAAGCAATATGAATGCCACATTATGATTAATAGGCTAGAAATGAAGTTAACAAAATATTAGTTTCTCACATCACATATGTGAACCAATATAGAGTCATATGCAAAAGTTTGGCTGCACCTGCTCAAATTATGTTTTGTTGATTTTCTAAGTGAAAATAAGTTAAACACTCCTTTATGGAGAACACGCTTAAATATGGCGTTTTTAATGCACAATTTGTATTTATTTAATGAGTTTCACATTTTAGAAAAATTAAAATGTGAATATTTTATGTGTTTTTTCCCCCAATGTGTTAAACTCAGCAAGTAAACAGTTATTTTGCATTAAAATGTGCAGAAGTATGTTCTCTGTAGAGGATGTTTTCACTTATTTTTACACTTATTTTGACCAGGGGTGCACAAACTTTTAAAAACTGTATATGAAAGTATGTTTTTATCACTACATTCAAAATGAAAAATCAGTCTCTTTTGGTAAAGAGCTGTCCTTCAACGTTAAATCCAAGAAATAGTATAAAAAAACAGGTGTTTTTCCAGAACTTCCAGATTACAGTTTACATCACAAACTGGTAACACGTCTGTGAATTTGTGAAAAATGAACAGAATTATTCTTCCACAACAAACCCTCTCATCTACTTGACACTCCGCCAAATTCCATCCTATCTAAGTCACCCGCAGCTGAACCTTTGAACCGGACAGATGAGTACAAACATCCACCGCCATCCTTTGTCAAAATATTTGTAGTTATGCAGCACAGGTATTTTTGTAAAGTTTAAACAGTTTGCTTGTACAGTGAGTTGAACAGGGTTGGCTGAATCAACAACTGCTATTTGCTTTCAATAATAGCAACCTGTTGACACGATTATTAGGTTAAGCTCTAATATTTTACTAATAGAGAAAACTGACATGACCTGGCTGTAAAATGAAGTCTGTTCATCGAGCAAAAACAAAGTAGAACCAATACTTGCTTTACTTTCTTTGATTTTTCTGCATTTGAAAATATTTGCATAGTTAAAGGTTAAAATGTAAACAGAGTCATTTAGAGTGGTTTGATGTGAAATGCTCTGCTCTAGTGGTGGTGATAGGAACCAGATGTCTGAAGAGTTCAGTGCCTCTAAAAGCTTCCTCACAGAAAGTTATTATATGGAATGCTTGCAAAAGTCAGGTACTGAAAAATAAGATGAAAAGTAATTTAGAAAAAATCTCCCATATTAATAACACAGCCTGTTACTGACTAATTTACTAATTTAATTTTTATCCCCTAAAAGAGGGCAAAAAAAGATGTCATTTCTCTCAGTAAACCCTTTTTCCAGTCCATCGCCAGCCCCCATCTGTTCAAAAGTGTCCCCTTCACTCCTGTCCACGTGGAATTCACCTGCCTGTGTTTTCCTATTCAAATTTGAGATGGCCTTCAAAGCTGACATTTCCTCCTCACACAGAGCCACCTCCTCTTTTATGTGAATGTCGGCATTGGGTGAGTGACCTATAGGGACAGTGGGGAATAGAGGATGATCATACTAGCTAGGGCTTCCCCCACTACCCATTGAATCACTCTTCATAGCCTTTCATCTTCTGACCCGAGACCAGAAGTCATTCATATAAAACTTGTCAAAGCAAAAGGAGTGACGTAGGCTTGGAATTCAAATTCAGGCAAAAGCAAATAAACTCACAAAGAGACACTGGTTCTTAATGGTTTAAACAGTCCCACAGTATGGCTTAAGTTGGTTTTATATGGCTTATACAGTCCCACTATAGAGATAAAGTTGGTTTTATATGGCTTATACAGTCCCACTATAGAGCTAAAGTTGGTTTTATATGGTTTAAACAGTCCCACCATAGAGATAAAGTTGGTTTTATATGGTTTAATCAGTCCCACTACAGGGCTTAAGTTGGTTTTATATGGTTTATACAGTCCCACTAAAGGGCTCCATGACAAACACGGCACCTGTTGCTCATAATGGCCATCTTAATGATGCACAACAGCCAACATCCCTAATAACTAAAGTCAATGATACAACCTCTAACTGAGACAAAACCACACAATCCATTCCTCAGCCAATCATCATTTGATGACAAGTTCTACTAAATTTTTAGTAGTGAACAGTAGGGGTGCACCAATATCAAAACTCTGGGCAGATGCCAATATCCCTATGTTTTCCAAGAACATATCAGCCAATGACAATTAGCTATTAGTCAGCCAACTTTAACAGAACAGAAAAGAGAGGCTGTTAAGATGGATTTGGTTAACTTTGGCAGCATAAACTCTAAATGAATTTTTGTACATTGGCTTTGATTTACTTTCTCGCGTAGCCGTGTTCACAGAGAATGCTACCAAGCAACGACACGAAAAGGAATCAATTAAATCGTACATTCAGTTAATTAAAAGAAAGAGTTTGAAAGAATTGGTGTATCAGGAGCACCAGAATCTAGTCAATAAATTTCCAAGTTTTTGGAAATCCTGTTTGATGGTGCTCTAAATCATTTACTCAAGAATTGTAATCAAATTAAGTTGTTGTGAGAGCAACAATTACAGCCATAATATAGCATTCAGTAGAATACTGTGGTTCAGTGGAGGTAAATTCAAATATGACAACACTGGTGTAATTATAAAGACAAAGTCATTTATTTTATATTTAGTTAATAAACAGCTGCAAGTGATGCTCAATAGAAGATTATATAAAGGCTGTTCTGCATTATTAGTATACTACTTACACAGTCTAATACACCATAATATGGTTGATTAATGTGCTCAGAATATCCCTTGTATGTTGTATCTTAAAAGTAACTTCTCATTATTAAAACCTATGAATAATAAACGTCTCACATTTCGGGATTGTAAAGATCTTGTTTTCTTGTTGCCTTTTTAGTGGATGATGTGTCGGGGACTTCTATTAAGCACTCTATGGCAATTTCATAATCAACATTATTGTTGCTGTTGCATCAATATCTCATATCGCCAAAACTTTACTGCATGTTAACATAATGAACATAATTAAAATCCAGTGGATCGTTAAGATGTACTTTTTACGATCTCTCACTACTGTCTGGTAAACAGATTATAAGCTGCATGGAGATCTTCGTGTGGGCCCTTACACTACATCCCAGACACTGTAGCCATAAGGCAATGGATTAATACCATTGCACATCCATTATTTGCGTTCTCTTTGAATCCCTCAATTTACATTGGTATATGCTAATTACATGGACGTAGTAGTTGTAGGCAGATGAAAGTGGAACTAGGCAGAGCCATCTGACTGTCTGATATCCGCCACACTCTCAGGCAGACGCACCGTGACACCATCAAGGGATTTTGTGAGACAAATCTGGCAACCCAGTCGGGACCTATGGACAGAAGACAAAAAGAGAAGAAATACACTTTAATTCAGTTTAATTCAGGGGAAATTCTATCTAGTGTGACAATACTGAATTTAAATGGAACTTATAATAAGAAAGACAATATGTATAACATGTTCTAATGCAAAGCATCTTGCCCCATGCTTTCCTGTAGGAGTGCAATGATGACAACTTTCATGATAAATGTGTTGTTTTAAAAAAAAATTCCACTTAGCCAAATTATTATTTTCAAAAAACATGAGAAGTTAAAGGTGAATTCCATGGACTTCATTCTAAATTATTTTAAATAAATCTACACTGCTGCATAATTCAGTCATTGAGATGTAAACCAAGTCATTCAGAGAAACTTCAACAGTAGTGAAGATACAAACCAGAGACGGTGACATCTACAACGCAAAAAGAGTCATTTTATTTACTATCCAACCTTACATGTGTTTTCTGAGTGTTAATATGTAATGTTAATGATTGCAAAATAAAGAAAAATCTGAAAAATGTTTTCTTTGGATTCTATTTTAGTTTACAACTCCCTGCATGTACCCTCGTGATTTTTTTAAGAAACACATTTTAGGTCCAAAACGTATCTCAAAACTATTGACAAACAATGTCTTAGACATCAGGCAACGTCATCATAACCACTTCACATAATAATCTTCTAGGAGGGAGGTTTTAAACACTTCTGGCATCTGGTTCCCATCACCACCACTCAGCAAGTTTCTATAGAACAGAGCATTTCACTTCACACTCTGTATGACTTTGTTTACATCTTAAAGACTGAATTATGGGCAAATTTTGAAAAATCGATTGAATTCCTCTTTAATGTTTAAATAAATGACTGCCAGATTTTAAAACTAAACACACTATGATCAAATGCCATTCAGACACATCTATGAACGTTCCTTGAGGTTCATTCTTCATATGCTGATGACATTCTAGACACAGAATCTTGAACAGTGACTCAGACTCAAGTCTTAACGTGGTGCATTATTAAAGCCCTTGTTTCAGACCTTACGCGTGTCTTTGGCTGTCAATTTGCAACCGTTCTGTGCAATCATTTATTGCAATGCCAGTCTCTAAAAGCTTGCAGCGGTGTTGGGTTCGGTATGGCTGCAATTAGCAGGCCTTTTACTAACATCATGCATCAGACAGACGTCACCAAATGCTACGTGCATTAAATGCAGTGCTAAAGCAGTGGTCACCAATCTTCCTACTGGAGATCTACTTTGCAGCAAAGTTTAGTTCCAGCTTGAATCTAACTTGCTGCCACCGTTTACCTAACACTATAGCATCTGATTCAACCAATCAGGGACTTCTGAAAGGCATGTCAGATTGTGGTAGGAATAAGACTCAAGAGGAAGGCAGATCTACAAGAGCAGGGCTGGTGACCACTGTTTTAAGGTAACTGGCTTAACAAGGTAAATTACCTTGAATTTTATAAACACATTCTAAGAGTTCAATCAGCCTGTACTTTGTATAACGAATAAGCTATTTAGCTTGGAGAAATTCCCTAGAAACAAGAGACTGTTTTAGGGCGTTACTTACAGTGAGGTTTCAAAGTACCAGTGAATATCCTTACATTTTGCAATCTTCTCTAATTCAATATGAAATATTAAAATACCACTTAAATGCAACCAAACTCTCATACTGAATTTAGAAGGTATGGAAAAATCCCTGCAGATTAAAAAAAAACAAAAAAACGGAAAGCAAGACTCCCAAAAAGAGTGGAAGCCACAATAAAGGTATTACATTTAGTTGTTGAGGCTTTTTTCTGAACATACACATTTTCTGTTTGTTCATATTAAATGGCCATTTTGACTTGAATTAAAAAAACAAATGGGTGGTTTCTGACTTTTGCACAATATTGTACATATTTGAGATGATTCTCTTAATTTTGACCATTTGTCTTATCACCTGATAATTTAGGCCTGCCACACATGATTTCTCAGGCATGTGTGTTCCTTTAGTTTTAGAGGCTTCATGGAAAGAGAGTGTAGTTTGTTGTGACACAGTTGCCTGGCATGGATTTATGATGCAAATAAACCAGATACTATTTTATTTACTACTCTTTTATTAACATTTACCATATATTAACAATAGCAGCTCTCTCTAAAGGCCTTTGCTGATGAACATTATTGTAGAAACAAATACGAATGTAACAAACAAATATTCTGAATACTTAAATTATTCATGCAAGCCCTTATCAAACATGTAATTAACAGTTCAGTCAATTACTGAAATATCTGTTGCTTTCATGTGACCCGGTTTCATTCAACCGGTGCATAAGTGGGTTGAGACAATCTGAGTGAAAAGTGAAAAAGCTGCAGTAAAAAGTAGATCGCACATACACTGAAATCAAGTGATTATGTGGTGTTTAAGAAATTGGAAAAACACAAGTACAATGAGTTCAAGTCCTTGTTGAGAGAATAATTAAGTTTGAAAGTGCAGCTTGGCAGAGACCAGCTATAATTTATTCATATTTAACACTTTACACATCTTAACAATTAACAATCACAGTTCTGCCTACAGGCATTTGCAGATGAAATGTATGGTAGTTTATGTTACAATTTTAGGGGGAAAAAGATGAAACTTCTGAATAACAAATAAAGAAATATCCTCCATGTTCACTAAGCAAAGAAGGACATACTACTAGATGGCTCATTTATCAACTGAGACAAGGTTTAAATCTGAGACAAAGTTCAAGGCCAATTCTTCATGAAAACAGACCTGCAGAGTGAAAGCTATTGACTAATCAGCTCGGCCTTAACCATTAAAAGCTCCGTCCTAGAACTGAAAGAACAAAAAAAAATTAAACTACACCATTACACAATAAAAACCGGACAGAAATCTTTTAATTTGACCGCATTACCAAAATCTGATCAATGAACACTTTCATGAGGAAACTAGGCTAATAGACACATTGTCAACACAATAAATGAACAGCAACAACAAGCACAGCTCTGTCCATACACAATCCCCAGTGCAACCAATAAGGCATTAGGCTCTAATCCGACTGTTCTACTGACGGTGATTAACAATCTGCTTCATTAGTAATCTTCTTGTGACATTACAGATCGGCTCAGGCGGACACAAACTCAAAGTCTGGATAGGTGAGACTTAAGGTCTTGTAAGATCCATTTACTTTCTTCCTAATTTTTGGCATTTCTCTACATTAATTCCCTTGAATGAATGAATTCTGAGAATGTAATGATCTAAATCTTATCCATGCCACAGACCTGTTAGATTTAATATCCTTTCACGTTAGTCCCACTACCCTGACCTAATTATTTCCCCTGAATTCTGCTGTTATGGGAGTACTAGGGGTCATTCACACAGTGGCATTCTTTTAATAAGGCTTAAAGTTAGGTTTAAATTAAAAGGTAACATCTGGAGTGAAACATAATAAGTAATCCCAGTAGCACTTTACAGCCTAAAAAAAATTACATGCTGATTTTAAAGTTGTTACTAAAGAATTAGCTTAGAATTGTATTGGTCAGAAGCCAGTAATAATATGGTTATGGTTAATGGTAACATGCTAATTTTCTAGATATAAATAATTAATAAGTTAAGATGAGATAAAGAAAGCTTAACATGTTGTATAAAGATATATGTGGTGTGGTTTGAGTCTTGATTTCTGAGCATTTTGCCAGATCTGTGCTTTATAACAGAGTAATAGTGTTTTGTTAACAGGTAACACAAAAGGAATATGCAATGCTGCATTTTCCAGCCCTGATTCTGTACAATCTCAGTATATTTACCTCATCTGTTTCTGGCTACCTACACTTGTCTGGAAGTCAGCCAACATGTAAACATAACAGAACAGCCATGAGTGATTATAATGCAGTAACTCAGTAATCATTTCAGCACAATTATCCACATTGTTTTTTGGAAAGACTAATGTTTTCACCTGGTGTGAGATGCAGTAACTGAGACACAAACTTACTTATTTCCTTCTGGTATTTGACAGTTCTAATACCATTTAGTTTCACTGTTATTACAGCCTGTAACAAAGACTGTATATCATACTTTGCCTGACCGTTTACAGACATATCAGGTAAGAAATAAAGAAATAAGTGAATTAGTATGTTACAGCACTAATACCACATCATTTCAGCATAACAGAGGTAACAGCACTAATGTTATAAAACCCTACAATGATTTGCGCAGGAACTGACTGGTTGTTTTAATTTACCTTTCCTGTAATAGGGACCAGTGACAATTAAGATTTTCAAAATGACAATTTTTAAAAATCTTATTAAAAAGGATATAATGTGCATTGTTCTATCTGCACAGATATTTACATTTATATCTATGTGCACTTTAAACTTCTTAAATACAGTTAGTGTCATCAAAGCTTTTAATTGCCTGTTTCCATTATTAAACTTTGATGGTCTGGTTGCAGGCATCTACTTAGACACCCGTAGAAACCTTTATTCTTGAATTTGAGATTACTTACATTTTTAAAAAATAAATACACGTAATTATAATAAAAACTTGGGGTCTTCTTTATGATGCGATCCCCTGGCCCCACTTTCGTAAAACATGTCAAAATAAAAGTTCTTTGTTTTTGGTTGTGCTTTCTGACGTTTGAGGAAGTAAGAACTTGCGGACAAAAGTTCTAATCTTTGAATTCACAGGAGGAGGTCCTTGTGAATCTTGGGGATATTTCAGTTCACCAAGTTCACCAAGTTCACCAATAAGTTAGAACAGACAAAAAAAGCAGTGCACATTTAAAAAAACTATCATTTACAATGACTTCAAGTTCAACGCTTGCAAAATTTTTAACTATTTTAGAAGAAATAGGATAAAAAAATATATAACTTACTAAAAATTGGTAAGAAGAGACAATACTTATTCAAATTCAGGTATCAGAAGCAGGCCAATATCAGCAGAAAATGCTGTATCGGATATCAAAAGGAAAAAAAATTAACTGGATTCAATATAGGTACCCATACTGGTTTAAAAGGGACAGTGCCTAATAAAACAGGTCTATAATTGGTCTAAATCTGTTTTATGATACATGTAGTTGTTCTGCATTCTAGAGATACTGATGACGCCCATGACAAACTCAGAAAAGTGTGTAATTTTTCATGCTAGCGATACCATCATTGCCCACCCACATCGTGCCACTAACGTTGGTTAAATTTGTCATTTTGTGCTGCTCTCAAATCAGCTCCCCCTTTCCCAATCCCATCCATGAACACTGAGATAAACATAACTGTCAGATCAGCAGAAAAAGCAACTTACGTGTCTGTGAGACCATAGGCAAGATCCAGCATATCCATCTCCTCATCACTAATAGGTCCTAACTGTTTGTAAGTCTCTTCCTCAAAGATGATGTGACAGGTGGAGCAAGCTAGAGTTCCCTCACATGCACCTGATAAAGAACAGAATAGTCATTAAAGAAGAAAATGTAAAAGCTTTCTCCGACTTTAAAGTTGTAAAACGCTACACCAGTTATTTGTGCTTTTCTAAATGGAGACTTACTGTACTGGTCATGTGACTTCACTGTTTTTACAAATTATGCACAAGATTGCTTTAAATAAAAATGAATGAATGAAGTAAAATACCCTCAATGTATTACACACAGCTTATTTAGTTATAGATATAGGAGCGTTAATAGCATTGGGCTAATTCATACTGACACTTCAGACAGATATTAATGGGCACATATTCTACATTTTTTCATATTTTACTATTTTTACTTAGAGGTCCACTTATTAACGTTTATGTGGCTATATGCATCAAAACAGTCCTAATTTATTTTTATTTGACCAAATTTAGTATTAAATAAACTTTATTAATACTGTGCCTGTAACACTAACATATGTACATGACCTCTGTTCTGATTGGCTGTCCTGTATTGTGTCTCATTTTAAAAGCAGTCCAGGCTGAAACACTCCTTTAGTGTGAATGGGTGGGACTAAACTGCTGTAGACTGAATTTATATAAATGTGTTGGTTTTCATGTAAAATGGGCTATTTTGCTAGTTTACATATACAGACTGTGTACTGTGTAGTGAGTGCATGTTTTAAAACTTTGGCAATGTTTACATACTACATCAAACTCTTTTTGATGATATGGACAAGTTAAGGGAGAAAATGTATGCACTCACCAAACCCATCGAAGTCAAGGTCTTGATCAACGACGACATCTAACAGGGATTCACCAGGGGAGGCCTTGACAGTAATTTTCTCTCCATCTCGATTGATGAAATTAACAGTCACCTTGTTTTCTGACCTGGTGAAAGAGAAATAAAATATGTTAAACAATTGGTCAATATGTGTAACTTGACTACTTTATAAATAATCCAGTGTTCAAGGGGTCAGTGTGGCTGCAGGTTTTCATTCCAAACAAGCTGCATCATGCCTGATCAATTAGTCTCAGTTATCAAACAATTAGATTCATCACAGATAAGACTGGACACCCCTGTTATAATCCACAAACAAGAAAAAGTGACAGACTGTGCCAAAATTCTGCATCGCTAAGATTGAGAGCATGCTGCCCTCTAGTGGACGAAAGTACACACTACTATATCACATTACAAAGTTCCACCTGTTTTTTTATTCTTCAAAGTCTCTCAGAACAGATTAACCACAATTTTTATATCAGTACGTAATTTAAAGAAGCAGCTGAATATTTTGACCAACTTTGTTTCTCATGAGTCTGCTGTTTTTACGTTCTTTCATTACTTGTTTTACTGCATTTATTTTTTAATAAGTGATTGATATTTTTATTATGTTATTTATTTATTTGATATTATCATTACTTTGCTACAACACCACTACCACATTCCCTGCTTTTATGTTCACGTAATCTTGTTTGTGTAGATTTCTCTCTCTTTTTGTCTTTTAATCTTCTGTAAAGCTGCATTGAGCTACATTTATGTACAGTGTATGTTTATTTGCTACACAATAAAGCTGCTTATTACTATTATTATTATTATTATTATTATTATTATATCTATGATGGCCAGGCCAATATGCAATATTTCCTTTTTGTTAAAGAAAATATCCTTTTGGTTTGAAATAAATCACCTGCCTGATTTATTCAGACAAATATAGTTTGATCTGATCTGGCCTTCATTCCAATGTAACTTATTACAACTGCCAAATAAGACACAAAGCGGTTACATTATGGGAGAATGAACTTTAACTGATTTAACAAATTGGAAAACAAATGTAAATAATGTGTAGAAATGTGCTGCTGGCATTAAATTCAAATTAATTTTTTTAAAAAACCAAGAAAATTAACGTTGTCTTTGTACTATTTTCTATTACATATAGGGTTTAAGTGATTTGCACATCACTGCATTATGTTTTTATTTACATTTTGCACAGTGACGCAACTTTTTTGGAAACGGGACTGTAAAACGCCACAAGGAATGTGGCTGGTATGGGGCCTTACGCAGGCTATTCTACTACACCTTAAACATAACGCCAGAAATGAAATGTAAAGGGGTGTGAAACAGGAATTTGGTAAAAAACTTTTTTAATGTGACTAACGATTCTAGGTCACACAACCACAGATATCATTAGTAACAGTATTAGCTAAAAATACTTCATTTTCTGCACTAGTAGAAACACCAGCTTTAACTGCAATGAACAATTATTTTACTGGGAAATGCATCACTGAAACGAGGGTCCTTTTCTTTTAAGCCATAATGCAAATTACTCTTTGAAATGTAAAACAAAAACTGCTCAAACTCAACTGACGTGTACCTGTGAACTATTTTGTTTCTGTAAGGATGCCACAATTGGTCTCAATGTGTCTTTCTGAGTATGTTGTGGTTCTCATACTTAAAGAACACTGAACTACTGCATGCACTGAACAAATTAAGTATCATAACATATAGCGTGTCATGAAAATGTCTTGAAGTATCATCATATATTTTTTCAACATCACCCACTGATACTACGGAATTATTTCATGTCTAGTCTTCTTGAAGCACTATTGCTAGATGTGCCTGTTTGTCTGTTGCTATTCTGCTGTATATAAGAACTACGAAAACATCAAAGTAAAAATACATGAAACCACCCCCAACAACAACATGAGGAGGTCAACCAGTTCTGTGGCATGACCAGGGTGACTAGGGTCATGAGAAAGTCTTGGAAATCTATTCCTTCACACTATCAGCTGCAACTCATGTGGAGAAGAATTTGTGCCAAATTGAAAACCAGTCACTACAGTGGACAAACAAGAAATGCAATGCCATATCTTTTCTACAGTGGCATGCAGAATATGTGCCAAAATGAAAAACAAACCCTCTATTACTTGCTTTCACGTCCCTTGAACGCTTTACTGAAAAGCTATACAGCAGGATTTGCATTTTAAATGAAACGCTAGATTCAATCCACCTTAAAATGTAATGCTATTGCCTTTCACAGTGCAGTACTTAAAACAACGTTAAATCAATGTAATGGATCTTTTCACTTTGCCATGTTTTTCGCATGTTACAGTTTTAACACAACCTCGTGTGTGCACTGCATTTCAACATGTTTGAAGTACAAACAGAGGTCAAGCGACATGAAAACAACGTAACACAGGTTTTGCTTTTCCTCTTGGCATGTATTCTGCATGTCACCTACAGAAAAGTGATGTTATGTGTGCATTGTATTTCACTGTTTTCCTGTTATAACTGCATTTCAACGAGGCAAATCTGTTTAAAGTACTGCATGGTGGAAAGCAGCATAGCCGTGCATTCACCACATTTCAAGGTGGACTGTATTCAATTCTGACACAAATTCAGCATTTTATTTTTGAAGTGCACATCCTCATGTGTTGTTTTCAGTAAAGAGGTGACATGAAAGCAATGCGACAGAGGATTTGCTTTTCATTTTGGCATGTATTCTGTATGTCACTATGGAAAAGTTTGTGTTGTATTTCATGCTTTTACACTGTAGTGATTGCTTTTCAGTACGGCACAAATTCCTCTCCAATCTCTGAACGCAGCCTAATATGACAAAAGATTCCAGCCACGATAAGCTATGTTACCTTCACTCTTAGTGAAGACAGGGCTTCTTCTTAGTGAAGATAAGGCTTTTTACTTGGCACTGTGCAGCTATCTGATAAAGAAACAATGACACATCTGTTTTGTTTTTTAGTTAATTCATTCATTAATTATACTATTATATATTATTATTATTATATATTATAATAATTAATTTAAAAAGAAAATTCTTCTCTCAGACAGCTGCCCAGTACGAAGTCCCAAATGAATGAGAGCAGCTAGAGCCCTGTTCACTGTTGCACTCTGAGAAACTCAAAAACACAACCTGTCCGTTTTCTGTTTATATTCCAGCTCTAAGCTTCTGTAATACAGCTGACCTTGAACTGAGCACTAAAGTTACACAAACCTATTGTCTAGTGGGTTCACATTTTCTAGCCGGTTTAGCCACAGCTAAATACTATAGCTATACCAGCTAACGCTCAACAACTAACTTGCATGTCAAAGTCAAGTACCGGTTAGCTTAGCCGGCTAAGTTAGCTAAGCTACTAACCTGCTGGCTCGCTAAGTTAGCAGGGCGAGTGGGCATCGGGCCAGAGAAATGCCCCCTTCCCTGACTTACCTGAGAGGCTGCACGACACTGGAGGAGGTGATTTCTCTCCTCTGAGTGCGGTCTCTGCTCAGTGAAGGTAAAGTCCTCGAAGAAGTTTTGCTGACTATGGAGGAGCTCCGCCGCGAAAGACTCCAACCGACCAACGTTAACCTCCGCGCCGCCGCTGAAAGAGACATCGTCGTAAACAAGCGTTACGGACCCGTTCGGTGCGATGATGAGCAGCTGTCCTCTGCAGTAAAGCCTGGTGAATCTGCTTCAACCGGCTGTATCCGTAGGAAGTGCTCGCCTGGCTCCTTACTGCCCGAGCTGAGCGGTGCTAGCAGTGCTAAGGGCTGTTAGCTCGGCGCAGAGTTCAGAGTTACCTCACAGATCACATTGCATAACACCGTGAAGATAACAGAGACAGCCCGCTGTGTTTAATATGAAACAAAGTTCAGGATGGGGATGCCGCCTCCTCTGCTTATTAGAGAGTCAGCTAGCTATCTGGGCTGTGAGGTTACTGGCGTTATTGAACAAAGCGCCGGATGATCAAACACATTATTGGACGCGGCGTCTATTAAATTGTCCAGCAAAATAACCTCGTACATCAGTACTTCCTGACTGTCATGAATGACGCCTGGGCAGCCAATCACAGCCGAGTGGGCGGGATCTAGGGCTGTTTTCTGACCTATCAGCTTTCAAGATATGAACGAATTCGCTACCTCACAGCCGATATGCAATGACGCGTCCGCAGACGGCGTCTATTCTTTCCGACTGTCCGTCTCAGTGAATCGGACGGCCTAAGTATCGACTCACGGACTGCCGAGTCAAGCCCAGTCTATACAGGAATGTGCAAAAGTTGAGGCACCTCGGGTCAAATGACACGTTTTGTTGATTTTCTAAGTGAAGATAAGCACTTCACTTCCTCTACAGCCGGGGTTCTCAACCTTTTTCCATTTCAAGGCCCTCCTGTTTATCACTACAGAGCATGAAGCCCACAAGAAAACAAACGCTTTTTTTTTTATGAAAAAAAAATATATTTTAGGTGAATTATTAACATGACTAAGTTTAGGTGCCTACCCTCACAACATGTACCATTGAATATAAAATATCAGCAGATTTGTCAATTATTTTGTATTTGTGTGCCATCACCGGCCCACTATGAACCACTGACACCCCCCTCAGAATTGGCCCAAGGACCAACAAATTGTGCTTTACCGTATTCCAAATTACATAATTTCAATATTACCGCTTATCAATCAATCCAAACTTTAATCTAACTCTTTTTTAAGCTTAAAAAAATATATGTCGGGACACCAATCGAAGTGCCCAAATGTCAACGTCATGTTCAAACGAATATTAAATGCTAATCCTGGTCCTGGAAAGCCACATTCCAACACTTAAAATATTTGTGTTGAATTAATCTGTCAGAAAATATTTTCTCTTGGCAATAAAATGTCTGTGAGAAAAACTGGTGATAGTTCACAAATTCAAAGGTGAAAAATGTACTGAGGTCATAGAAAGAGATGGCATATGCTGGAAAACCTGCCAACCTGGCCATCCAAAAGTGAAAAACTTAAAAGCCTGGTTGAGCATCAATTGTGCAAACTCATGCACTCCATGACTAGAACACCTAATCTATCACTCAAAAGAAGACACAGGCTGCAAAATACCAACCCACACAAAAGAAAGAGACGCAAATGTTTGTCCCGCTAATGTTTGTCCCGCTAATGTTTGTCCCGCTAATGTTTGAGCACTTTTCTTTGCCTTAAGTTTTAATTTATCACTTTGAATCTCAATTAGTAAACCTAGTTGTTAACGCTGGCTGCTACGACTTTTCTGATGGATATGAATGACTTTTACTTGCAAGAGTACAAAATAAACAAGACATGAGCTGCATTCAGAGAGTGTCCCAAGACTACTTCTGTGCACTGTGTAGGGTTGAAAATGAAGTTGTAGGCTTAAATATGTGGCAGTTCAGAGTTAAAGCTAACCCTATGCAGCAGAAGTACATGCTACTTTGTGATCTTTCGTTTTGTAACAAGAATTGTATTTTTCCAGAGACAAGGAAATTAGAGGTGTGTATAATCAAAACACTTTTTGATACATAAAATATAAAAAAAAACAAATTAAATATGTACCTCAGAAAAAAATGAATCTGTGAATACGACAATATTGGCATGATGTGTAGCGTTACAGTACTGTGCACCTTCACACATAGTTTAAAACCATCTATATTGGTAATAAGTGTGTTTGTGCTTGTAAAAACATCATATATCATGACCATAAATGCAAACAATTAAAAATACAGCAAGCAATAATAAGAATTTCCTATTTTGAAAAAGGTAGTTAAAGTGGAAGTGCCTGAATACAGCACTTTAAAGCCTCAGAGGACTGTTTGCCTTTAAAAAAATGGCCTAAGCAAGCCTATCTGAGTTTATGTAGCAATCCAAGTTGATTTGAGGTTAGTAAATGATGATTTACACCAGGGATTGCCAGTCTTACCCACAAAGTGCTGGTGTAACAGCAGGTTTTCATTCTAATCAAGCAGATCCACATCTTGTGAAATGAAGGGTATTAATAGGGAGTTTGTCATCCTTTGCTGCAGTAACAGCCTCTACTCTTCTGGGAAAGCACTGGGGGCATCATATGGCAACTTCACTGACTAGAAAAGATGTCTGGATTCTTTTGGACAAACAGTGTATATGAGGTGTCCTTATGCTTGACTCAAATAAAAACCTGCAGGTGGCAGGCCGGTGTGGCAGAGCACTGTGGCTATGGAGGCAGGTCAGGGAGTTCACACTGATCGCCACATGTTCTTGTTTTCCTTTAATGACATACTTTGAATGCTTTTGGTAGGGCTGTCCTAAAGAAACTAATGAAATACCTTGTGTACCATGCATATATTCTCTTTATGTATGTCTAGGCCTAAACTTCCACCCACTTGGTCTCTCAGAGCCAGACATGATCTCATACCAACTATAGTGGACTGAGTGCATTTACACGAACTTAATAATCCAATGATCAGATTTTGACAGTTATCTGATTATTTAGGTTGTCATGTATATAACATACTCTGATTTCTTAAATTGGATTAAGGCCAATTTCAGAGGTGGTATTTATTTGTATCACATGTAATGTGTCTCCACAAACACAAGACCTGTCTGCTTCATTGGAGTTTTTCTGGGGACTTTTCAGCAATGCTAACTTACATTACATCCATGGGCTATCGACAGGTTTGTTGTCTGTCGGACAATGTTGACGAGCGCATCATCGCCCCCTACTTCGAGCTCCGCCTACACAAATGATCAGACTCATTTCGAAATTTCACTCTCAGTTTGTTCTCACTCTAAAAGTCTTCATTCTAACCCGCATTTAGCAAAAACAATTCTCATGCTTTTCCCCAGATGTGTATTTTCAGTACTCTGGCCCTGCGAGACCAATTCTAGCTAAGCACAAATGTACAGTGAGAGCTTCTTTAATAGATAAGACTAAACTTCACACTGATCTTAATCAGCATGACAGACTAATCAAGGGAGGAGCTCATGGTGCAAAGTGACAAGACCCAGCCCTATTCCCCAATAGAATCCACAAAGCTATGATGAAGTAATACAGACGATTGAATGTATGATGTCTTTTATTTTGTAGTTACAAAACAAAATGGCACAACTACAATAATATAAACTAAGTGTTATAAACAAAAGAACTGTATAGGCTAATTACTTTACCCAATTAAAGATAAGAGAAGTGGAAACTTCTCGAGCTTGGTGCTATCTAGACAGGAAACTAGGTCAAACACTGGTGGGCCTGGACTGTCGGGAAACGGTTCTTTCTATTCTCTATCATATCAATATCAATGTTTAACTAGGGACATTCCATTGCAATTTAGATATGCTTGATACAGCTATAATAAAATGTACATACTGAAAGAACCTTGGCCTTCTTGGTGTCACATGCAAATCACTGTGGATAGTATTTCACTGGTAGACAAGAAAAGACACATTTTATTGCTTTGTCTTCTATGCCAATGTTGTATGCTGACCTAAACTGGGGCTCTACAAATTACTTGATACAGTAAGTAATAGTGAGCCTTCTTTTTCTCAACATTTAGCATATATCCTTTATGATCATGACTTAGATGTGTTTTGTAAACATTTCAATCATTGTGAGACGATCATTGAAAGGCTCTTTCTGCTAAGTCTCTTTTGTTCCGTTGATTTTATAAAATAAGAACTCTCATTAGCAACAGAAGTAGGTGACAGATTTTTTATGGATGCATCCATAATATTGTACTCATTCATTCTTTTGTAGGTAAAGTAATGGACTCACATCAAGATTCAGAGGAAAGGTTAGTGGTGGTTTTGGGCTTTAGATTAAAATTCATGTTTTTTTCCATTGCTGGTAATAACTTTGGTTTTTCTGTTTGTCAGCAAATATGCATCTTCAGAAAATAATGTCACATTCCAGTGCTACTTCCAAAATGAAGTTCAGCCTTTTATTGAGTTAATTGACTCTCTGAGGCTGCTTGGCATTGACAATGATCTGAATCTGCCCTCCATCGCTGTAGTAGGAGATCAGAGTTCTGGAAAAAGCTCTGTTCTGGAGGCGCTCTCTGGGGTGGGCCTTCCGAGAGGCAGTGGTAAATTTACTTTCTCATAACCTCACATAGAAAAAAGGTTTTTAAAATCTGCTAGATTTGGCTGATGGAAGCCATTTTGATAGTTGCCTATTTAAATAATATGAATCAAAAAAAGTGCTACATTTAAAGTAACAGGCAACTGTCATTTAGCAGAATTATTATTATGCTATGACATTTTGGAACTAGTGTAGCAGCAGCACTAAAATACCTCCCTTATGTGTACATCAGCCAAAATAATCTATTTAACTAGCAATTCTGAAGAAAAAATCTGCCTATTCCAATTTAGGCTGATTGCAACTGTGAAACCCTGCCCGACGCAACAAATTCAGCTCACTCCAATAGCTAAATGTCTTGAATCTATTATGTTTGAAGGAACTGACCCCATCAGTGCAGTGTCTCTTTTCCCACTATTTGAATAATCTATATTTAAGTGAAATTATAGATGTCTGGTTTCATTTTCACTTTGATACCTTTTAGGTATCGTCACTCGCTGTCCTCTGGAGCTAAAACTGAGGAAGAAAAAAGGGAAATGGGAGGGGAAAATCTCATATGCAGGTCATTCCGAAACATTTTATGATCCATCACAGGTGGAGAAAATGGTCAGAGAAGGCAAGAATCTATATTCACTGTAACAACTTATACCCAAAGCAGTCCCACAGTCTTATTAATGTACATAGGTTCCTTATGCAGTTTTGTGTAATTTGCTAAACAGCTCAGAAAGCTCTGGCTGGAGATGGGGTGGGGATCTGCCATGATCTGATCACTTTAGAAATATCCTCCCCTGATGTGTGTGACCTCACTCTGATTGATCTCCCTGGCATAACCAGAGTCCCTGTGAAGGGTCAGCCAGATGACATTGGAGACCAGGTGAGCAGAAGGACAAGGAAGGACCTTAATCCCATAGGGAAGAAAATATATGTATATGTGTTTGCTCGTATTAAAAATATTTGTGAAATATATGTGCAATAATGTAATGTTTTAAAACATCAGTGCTAAATATATTTAACTTTTTGAATATTTAAATATTTGCAAATATGGGCATCTGTATGGAAATACATTTAAATATATACACATATGCAGATGAAATGTATGTAATAGTGAACATTTTTCACATTTAAATTAGTCCAAAATAACAAATTTGACATTTTGAAATGTATGTGGAGATTTGTTGGATATGTTTCCTTTGCATATGGAATAGTTCTGGCTTGGAAATACAGCTGTTGTAGAATCTTTACATTATGCAGAAGTTCAGTTCTATAAGCTGTAAAAGGTTCTTCACATTCATTTACATCTAGTTTATAAAATGGTTCTTTAAAGAGCCATCCATTGAAAGTCTTTAGGGATCAAAAAATGGTTCTTCTATGGCATCCCTTCAAAAAAATCCATTGTGGTTCCTCTTGGTAGCTTTATTTTTAATGATCCACTTTTTTTCAAAACTGCTGTATAATTCAGTGGTTGAGATGTAAACAGTCATTCAGAGTGGTTTGGTGTGAAAAGGTTCGTTGTAGAGAAACTTGCTGACTCCGATTTCTTTACAGTAGTGCTGATAGGAACCAATGTCTATAATGCAAATACAGTGAGTCTTTATATGTAATGTTGAGAGTAAAACAGTGGTAAATCTGAATGTTTTCTTTGGCATGTACCTCTCCGCCTTGTTAAAATAATAGGCCAAAATCTTTGCAAAGCTATCAAAAAACAATGTCTCAGGTATCTGGCAGCAAATGTATTACTTTTTCATGCAATAATTTTCTGTGATGTAGCTTTTAAAGGCATTAAACTCTCAACTCAGATGTCTGGTTCCTATCACTACCACTGTGAACAATTCAACAGGTTTCTGTAGAATGGCACAATCACGTCAAACCACTCTTAACCATGTAAATATGCCAACATTTAAAAATTCTGGAATTCCCCTTTAAGACTCTGAGCTAAAGATTGTAGTTGTGTGGTCTTAGTTTCTCTGATAGTCTTTTTCATGTGAACTTTATCCACAGGAAATCTGAATAAAATAACAATCCTTCTCAGAAAAGAACTCTACCTTTCATTTTCACATTTCTAGATCCGCAGTCTCATTTTGAAATACATCAGGAAAAAGGAAACAATCAATTTAGTCGTGGTCCCTTGTAATGTTGATATAGCCACCACAGAAGTACTGAGAATGGCACAGGAAGTGGATCCTCATGGGAGCAGGACTCTAGGTACTTTGAATATCTTTTCTAATCTGGAGCTATGATGTAGTTTAATATACATTGTTGTGATGTATTCACTCTACATTCACTCATGAAATGTGATGTTTCTGCTATCCTCTTACAGCGATCCTCACAAAACCAGATTTGATTGACAAAGGAGCAGAAGATGATGTTTTAAAGATCGTCCAGGGTAAAGTAATTCCCCTCAGTAAAGGCTACATCATTGTACGATGCCGTGGCCAAAAGGACATCAACGATAAGCTCTCTCTGATTGAGGCCATGCAGGTTGAGAGAGATTTCTTTAAGAGCCACACATATTTTAGGTACAGAGGTTTTTATATTTTAGGTGTTACACTGGGTGACATGCTATGTACCTTGATTAATAAACAAGATTAAATTAAATAAAAATTACAGTGTTACCAAACTAAACACTTATTTCTCAGCTCGCTTTTGAATGAAGATAAAGCTACTACAGAGTGCTTGGGGAGAAAGCTTACGAGAGAGTTGGTTGACCACATTAAGGTTAGTACAGTGCTGGTTATTGTTAACTGAAAAAAAGGCTCAAAAAACTTTGAAAGATGTATTCTAAACAAAAATTTGTCTCCCTGATAGAAATCACTTCCACATTTGACAGATCAGGTCCAAAGCCTTCTATCTCAGCTGCAGGCGGAGCTGAAGACATATCATGAAGGCCCTCCACTAGACCACAAAATGATGGGACCTTTTCTGAGTCAGGTAGCCAACATCTGAAATAAAACCAGTACATTTCCAAACATTACAAGATTCAATTATCTTACACACTTATTACTTAGAAAACAACGTATAGTTAGTTTCAAAGAGGGCACTCTTAAAGGGGCATTCGAGCCTACAACTAATATTTTATTTAATATGTTATTGTAATGAAATGTAGTATTCTTGAGTGCAGCTTTGTATCCCTCAACCTCTTAATTTTTGGCTGAATTCACAGTTTTGTATCCTTTTATTGTTTTCGTCACCATCAACATTCTCTCACTACAATACCCAGCATGCATTACACAAATAGCATTGGGAATCCACCTCATTCAAAACACTAGCCTGATGTAGATGCTAAAAAATACAAACAAAATATTCAGCCACAAATTCTGTGAACAGACAAAATATTCTGTGTAAAAAAATTTGTAGTCCCTCCCACCTTCAAGATGCATTATCATAAGAGGGTTTTCTTCTAGCTAGCACCTAATTTATTAAGTAGGACAGAAGCTTTTGCAACTTTGCCTGCCATAATAAAAGACATAAACAGAGCTTACTCTGACAGACACATTACCAGCTGATGTCTTATTTAACAATCAAATAAAAATAAATTTCATTAATTGCTTCACTTGAAGCAGGGAATTTTAAATGTTTATATGTTTTTATAATTGTAAATAAGTATTATAGGTGCTTTATATTTATGTACAGGCCAATATCTATGTAGAAGGCATTATAATGGATAGTGATACTTTTAAATGTATAAATCATCAAAGAATTAGTTATAGTACATTATCTCAGCCTTATGATGCATTATTAGAGTTTATAAGTTTGCTTACAAAGCACTGTTACAAAGTTACAAAGTGCACATTTATAACTATTTATGAATATTGGCTTCATAGAAAGTTACTGAACTTGTTTTCCTTCTCACGCCAAAGGCCCAATTCAGTAGCTGATAAACTGATCGTTTGCGAAACTCAGAGAAGGTCCTGCCTCCCTTAGTTATTGTTGCTATGTCTGTAAATCTTTCATATTAGGCTGCCTGGTAGTATCTGTAACACAGATGAAAAAGTTCAGTAGTACAAAGAAAAATTTAGGAGCATACAGATGAGTGCATTTAAAACATTTAAAAATACGCTTGTCGGTGGATTTAAAGCAAACACAAAAAAATTGTAAACCGTGTTTATATCAATCAAACCAGGGAATTAATTTAGTTGTTAAAGTAACAAGTGTTTATGTCTAATAAGAACAAAAGTTTCTAGTGACTGCAGCTACCTGTACAGATGGGCTAATGCTAAAGCTAACATTAGTCAGATCAATGTTAGATGCTGAGGAGGATGTTTTAATCACAAATGTCAGCGCTGTACAATCCTGTTTAATCCAACTGATTTATCAAGCTGTCAGCAGCTAAATCTAAGAAAAGCTAACAAGTTAACTAACAGTGTTCTGTAACATTATGTATCATTAGACGTATTAAAATGATTTTAGAAAATATAGTAACCCAGATAACAGGAATGAAATAAAAACAGCACCACACTACAAATGATCAGGGTAGGCTATGTCGGGCATTACACGCCGATCAGTAACATCTTTCCTCCATTTCTTAGTCTAATAATTCAGGCTAATTTGCTACCAGTGCCATTCTCACTGCAGGTTTGTTTGAGGAGTTTTGTTGGAGTTTTTCTACACTTGACAGAGGAAAGAACATTTAGAGCAGACTGTGAATGGCTGATAGGCATGATGATAATTTTGCAAATTGTCAATTAAAGATCTAAGACAGCTTAACCTCTGTGGTGTGCTACATTTTCTTTCTTCTTGTCCTCCATGCATCCAGATTATAATTGAGTTCAGTGACCGCATCAATGACTTGGCTAGAACAGGGGATTCAAAGCACAAAAACATATATGGACTCCTACGTCCAGTCTTCAAACAATGGGATGGATACTTAAAGACCAGCCAGTTATCATGTAAGAGCAGCAAAGAGTGACAGATTTTTTACTCTACTACACTACATATTTTGCGTCTCAGCCATATGACTCAGCCTGATCACTTGTACCTGCTCTCTTTTGGGTCCTGAATTCAGTCAAAGAAGCCGTTGAGGGAATGATCAATAAATATGATGACCTTCACCGTGGCCGAGAACTGCTAACATTTAGTGACTATTCGTCTTTGGAGTCTTTAGTCAAAAAGCAGGTGAATGTTCTTGAAGAGCCAGCAATGGAAACACTGAAGATCATCAGAGGTGAGCAACTTAAGCATATGTTAAATTGGCATTTCCAGCCTAAATTTAAACTAGAGTTTATGTTATTTGTCATGTTCTGTCATGTCACAGCCTCATCAGTTTGACAGAATTCACAAATTTTTATTGTTTTCATGTCTTAATTACTTAACTACAACACCCAGCATGCATTACCCAAATACATCATAAAACCTTTCCTATAATCCTGACTGCTAGTCTAGCCACGAATTATAGGTTAATGAATATTAACCTATATAAATAACCAAGCAATAGTGTAACTCACACCTCAGTTGGCAAACAAAATCATAAACAAAACAGAAACTATATCTTTATTCAACACTTTGTGACTGGATATTAGAGGCAAGCCGCCAAACTGTGGTATAATATCTACACACTTAAAAATGATGATTCGTCAAGGGTTCTTTAGTAAAGAAAATGGTTCTATACAGAACCATGAACACTCAAAGAACCCTTTGCATGATTAAAGGGTTCTTCGCATTGTGAAAGAGTTCTTCAGATTGATGGAGAACATGTTTTTTGTCCTTTGAGTAATCCATTGCAAAAAATGGTTTGAAGGCAGTTACTACAGTTATCTGACTGTAAGAAGATATTCAGCTTCCTAGCAAGAACCTCTGCCTTCCTTCTGGATTCACTGGCTAAAAGGTGTAATTGTTCTTTACAAGCTTCTCTTACCTTCAAAAAACATCATGAGAAGGAGGTTTCTAGTCTTCAAACCAGAAAGTCTCACTCTAGAGACTACTGCAGCACCACCGTAGGATGCAAATAAGTATATTTACAAGAGATGTAGCAATGGTTGGTATAGTGCAGTGGGTAACACCTCTTCCTTCTATGCTGTAGACTGGGGTTCAATCCCTACACTATACCAATAAGAGTCCTTTGCCTAACTGTGTGAAAATGATCCATTTGTAATGATATAATAATGATTGTACTGTTCACTTTGGTCAGGATTCTGAATTGAAACTGTATTTTGAGAGAATTCTGTGCAAGAAGATTTCAGAAATTAGTGTAAACCACTTTCATTTTCAGAGATCATTCAAGATGAGTTTAAGAATGTGTGTGACATCTCATTTGAAAACTACCCTCATCTGAGATACATAGCCATGGTAAGTATTCTCTACAGTAAGATGCTGTAATGTAATCAAATTGCAGATGGGATGGAAGATATGGCAAAAATATCACATCATGAGACATTTCAGACATTTTCACAATAGACAGTATGCATCACCATATGTAGTTTTTCATTTTGATGAGTTGATACAGACAGAAAAGAACCGCAGTGCCACATTTAAAAACTATTAAAAACTTTGAATACAGTGGTTTTATTTAATGCTTCACATACTGAGCTGCACCAAATATAACTATACAGGACTAATTATTCTCTCTTTGTAATGAAATATGTACTGATGATATCCATATTACTATCTAAAAACTATATTTTGATGTAATGTGATGTAAACTACTATAATAATGCTATCTATTGTCATATTGCTGAGCCCTAGGTCTGAAACCCAGACCAGAGAGACCTGACATTTTTTGATTGTGTTTTATCAATTTTCATCTTAACTGTTGTAAATGTTTTGTATATTTTAGGCCAAAATCTTATTTTGAAACTATCATAAATTCTGAAACTTCAAATTCTGCCACAAATTAGCTATAATTAGAGATCAAAGATTAATGTTCATTCATACAGCCTAAACAACATGGCCTTCATTAACTTCTACTGTTCAAATGTATTCCACAGACAATGATTGATGATATTCAGTCAAAGCAAGAATCCAAAGTGGAGACCAGGATCAAAGAGTTCATTCAGATGGAGCAGCTGGTTTTCACTCAGGACAGTATCTTACAGCAGAAACTCAGCAACTCCAAACTTTCAGTTCAGGAGGATTTAAGAGATGAGGCCTTCTACGATGATGACGGCATTTATTCATCAAGTGGCTGTGCAGTGCTTGATACCAGAAAGCTTAGCCCAGAAAAGATTGTCCTTTACTATGAGGTTGGTCTGATGTCATATATTGAACTATTAACTGTGAAATACTGATGCTGAATGCAAATAGTCTGTGGGTGGAGAAAGAAAGTATTGCTAATTTCTAAAATCATTCAGAAATATGTCAGAAATGTTCAATGTATTCAATGATATCAAACTAATATCATTGCAGAAAAATGTATAAAATGATCGTTAATATGCTTGTTCAGTGCAGCTTTCAAATAGTACAAAGTTAATGAAGCAATAAGCCACTTGAGGCTGTGCGTTACCGCGATTTTATCACGGGAAGGGTGTTCTTAATTCATAGTTTTTTGGGACTCAGACTCATCCATACTCGACAAATGATGCATTATTTGGCTATAGAAGCTAGAATTTCTAAACTTTCATAGCTAGCACACTATTTAGGGAATATGGAGCCATTTGGGATTCAGTCTGGGTTTAATGCTACTTCTGACTGAAACATGGACATTTGAAGCATGCAACCCATTCAGGTGACATTCTTCAAATCTTTTGGCCTGTTAGCTAGCTGGCCAGCCTAGTTGTAGTTAAGAACATTAGTTGTCAGCCCCTCAGTTTAAACAAAAAAATGGATTCTTACTTCATCAGTATACTCAGTGCTCCATGTGAGCAGCATGAGTCAAAGATTATTCCATTAACAGCAGAAGGGTTTTCCGTACTGTGGCGCAGTAATATACAGTTCTGTTGCTGTAAGGCGGAAATAAGTGTGCGTATATTGTGGATTTTACAACGGCTTTGAAAGCAGGTCAACCAATCAGATTTTAGGACCAGAGCTATCCATTTAATAAAAAGCTGTTAGAAAATCAAGATGTTAGATTTTGTCCAGAAACATGAACAGAGTTGTAGAACATTTCTAAAATGACAGAGAAAAAGATGTAGCATTGAGAATGAAATCAATAAAATGAATATCCAGAATGCCTCGCCTTTCAAAAGTATGAGTGATCAAATCTCAAGGCAGAAAACCTGACAAAAATGGCTGTAAACAGAGAATCCCAGTATATTACTTACAATAACACAAAATACTTAAAATAATGAACAAAACATCTTAAAATACCCTTTGGTGCCTAGTGCATTAGACATTACTGTATAAACATGATCAATATCACAAGTGATTTCAAAGTTTTGGATGGCACTGCAGATTGGAAATATGGATGGGGAATCGAGGGACTCCAGCACAGGCCGATTTTTCTGCTCTACCCCACCTACTAATCAGGCAACTATCCAATGAGTTGAATCAGGAGTGCACATTTGAGAAGTGGGACATACTTAGACACTTACTGCAAAGCACATACATGAGCACACAAAACAACAAAGTGTGGACTTTGAGACAGGCTGAGCAAGTGAGCTTTTGTCCTTGACTCTTGTCATACTTTATTCCCTTCTTATTCAATAGCTGTAATGTACTGTAAAAAAAAGGGGGTCTTACTACTCCACCTAGTGGCAAGAGCACCATCAGTGTTTCTGGTCTAAGTGAGTCAAAGCAGTCAGTGACCATCATATTATTCAAATATGATGACTTGGTTTTGCCAGATTGTCTACCAGAGACTGTCGGACTACATTCCAATGTTGCTCCTGCTCTTCATGCTGAAAGATGCAGCTAAAATCTTGCGTGATCAGATGATGGACTTGAGGGATGGTGCAGATGTGACCAAACTACTCAGCGAAGGTACCGAAAGAGGACGCAAGAGGGCCGACTTGCTGCAGCGTCTAGAACGACTGAAAGAAGCTCAAGCCAAAATCTATGGCACACTGTAAGAGCTTTTTGTTATTTGAAAAAGATGTAGCATTGAGAATGAAATCAATAAAATGAATATCCAGAATGCCTCGCCTTTCAAAAGTATGAGTGATCAAATCTCAAGGCAGAAAACCTGACAAAAATTGCTGTAAACAGAGAATTCCAGTATATTACTTACAATAACACAAAATACTTAAAATAATGAACAAAACATCTTAAAATACCCTTTGGTGCCTAGTGCATTAGACATTACTGTATAAACATGATCAATATCACAAGTGATTTCAAAGTTTTGGATGGCACTGCAGATTGGAAATATGGATGGGGAATCGAGGGACTGAGACATTGATGACATTGATCATTAGATAGGAGATAAAATGAGGAAAATCTGTTTGTTGTATTGAGGTAATGCAATTGACAAATTTTAAAATGAAGTAATTAAATAGAAATCAAACACACTGATAAGTGATTTCACCAAACCTGGAGGAAGATGATGCAGAAGATAGCTGTGATAATTGTGATTGTAGCTGAACATCCAGAAAGAACGCACAACATCTTTAATAAAACGTTTACCACTCTTTTGTATGACCTCTGACTTCATTATGTCTTTTAGTTCTGAGAACTGGTTTGTCAGAAAAGGCCTACCACTTAAAGCAGACCCTTCAGTTATCTCACATCAGAACATATTTCTGCCTCACTTGATAAAATGGACAATGAGTGTAGAAACAAGGAGGTGGTTTTAATGCCATTGTGAAACAAAACCCAAAATATATAGATGCCTTTGAAATGTATTCTATTTGAATGACAGTAGAATAAAACCTGTCATGATTAAGGGCAAGAAACTAATGTGCTGAATATGCATCAGAAAACACATGACATTATTCCTGTTAATAGTATTGGGTTTTTTCAATAGTGATTTTTACAAGACATTAGATATATGACAGTACACTAACTCTAACTGCAGATGTTGTTTTTCACTCACTTTTACGATTGAATTGCAGTATGTAAGCTTTAGCCTCCCATCATTGGTTCCCTCACTTGTCAAAGCAAATGTGCACGCCTTAGTAGCACAACAGTACACGGTGTTATTTAATATATCGCTGCAGTCTGAACAAAACCTCATATCTCCAAAATGGTAACTTTACAAAAGAAGGAAAACATGCTTTTATAGTAAGTCAATGAAACCAGACTTTTTTTTAGTAATTTTAAGTGATTTTGGTGATTTCTTTTGGCTCATTCATCACAAAATTTACACAAAATGTAAAGGGCCAACAGGCATTTTCAAATTCTGTCAAAAACTGAAAAAAATGGAGATACAAGGTTTTGATCAGACAGCAGCGATATATCAACAATTGACTCTGATCACATGACACTAAACAAACTCTACATTTGAGCAGTTATTCTAAAATTCTTTTAATTTATTTACATTTATGTATTTGGCAGACACTCTTATCCAGAGCAACTCTGTAACAATTTAAGTTGTTGAGATGTTAACAAAATCATTTAGAGTGTTAAAGTGGAATGGCACATTGTAGAGCAACATACCGACTGTATAGTTGTGACAGGAACCAGGGGTCACAATGTCTGACACACATATAGCCACTTTATTTACTATCCAAAATGATCAGTGAACCTGCAAGTGCCTCCTAAATTTCTGTATGAATTGTTGATGGTAAATCTGAAAGAAAAAAAAAAACATTTGGAGAAATAGTCTTTGGGTGGTGGATCATTCTCAGCAGTGCAGTAACACTGACGTGGTGGTGGTGTGTTAGTGTGTGTTGTGCTGGTACGAGTGGATCAGACACAGCAGTGCTGCTGGAGTTTTTAAACACCTCAGTGTTGCTGCTGGACTGAAAATAGTCCACCAAACAAAAATATCCAGCCAACAGCGTCCTGTGGGCAGCGTCCTGTGACCACTGATGAAGGACTAGAGGATGACCAACACAAACTGGGCAACAACAGATGAGCTACTGTCTCTGACTTTACATCTACAAGGTGAACCAACAAGGTAGGAGTGTCTGACAGAGTGGTCAGTGAGTGGACACAGTGTTTAAAAACTGCTGTGTCTGATCTACTCGTACCAGCACAACACACCAACACACCACCACCATGCCAGCCTCAGTGCAGTGTTGAGAATGATCCACCACCCAAATAATACCTTCTCTGTGGTGGTCTTATGGGGGATCTGACCATTGAAGAACAGGGTGAAAGGGGGATAACAAAGTATGCAGAGAAACAGATGAACTACAGTTTGTAATTGTAGAACTACAAACTCCTCCTATATAGTAAGTGGAGCTGATAAAATGGGCAATGAGTGTAGAAACAAGGAGGTGGTTTTAATGTTGCTGTTCAGTGTATAAGTCTGGAAGAATGTGCACTTTTTCAAGCTATTATCATTAAACGAAACCACATGATTGCCACTAATAACACCAGTGAGGCTGATCTTTAAAACTGTGCATTAATTTTGTTTTTCTTTTAGAGAAAAATGAGGAACTGAAAAAATGCTGTAATAAAGGAGAGTAACTATTTGTCCAAATGTGTTGAGGTTTGTGGTAAATGACAAACAGCATTGTGATTTTTGATTAGGGGGTCTTTATCCTATCCTATCTCATTTTCTTTTTTCCGTTTTCCATTAGCTCCACGTATGATATTTGTATGGTTTTACATGCCAAAAAACAGCTATATATTTATATTTACATGATCATTGCTCATGGGCTCATATTATGAAAAATAATTTTCTTGAAATAAAAGTTTAACCCTTGTGTGGTGTTGGGCTCTGTGGGACCCATTTTCAATGTTTTCCAAAAGAAAAAATGATGCGATTTATTATTACTTCAACCTCAGATTCCTTGGCCTTTGCCCATTTTCTGTGAAGAACATATAAAATAACACATTTTCAGTGACTTCACACAGTACACCTTTACTCTGTTCTCCTCCTACATGACCTGCTGTTAGTGTGTGTGTGTGTGTGTCTGTGTGTTCATGTGTTTGTATATTTATGTGTGTGTGTGTGTGGATGGACAAGGACAGGCTGCTGACTGGCTACAGCTGCTAAAGGAGAACCTGCACTGACCACTTGTGATAATTTCTCTGATAATCTGATAATGATATATATCTTGTATTTTTACATAAGTGGTTATGGCTGTATTGATTTAAAAAAACAATAATGTGGTGGGTCCACCAGACCACTGAGTAGCAAAAACATGAACACCACACAAGGGGTTAATGTGGTCTGTAAGCTATGCTAAAGTTTCAGTCACAGCCCAGTCTATACACTCCAAATATGAAAACTAAGCTGCAAAAACAGCCCATTTTGAATCCACTGTTTTTGTGACGTCATGAAAACCAATACATTTACATGCATCTACCTATTCAGCCTACAGCAGTTCACCCACAGCCACTCACACTAAAGTTATAAGGAGTGTTTCAGCCTCAATACGAGAGAACCAAACAACGTTTTTAATTCTAAGAGGTTGGAAAATGGCCATGTAGAAATGAATTATGACAATGAAAAATATCATGGGGAGAAAAATGAAAACACAAGGAAAACTGTGCTGTATTGTGCTTCATTCAAAAAGTAATTCAGGCTGAAACATTCTTTTTAACTTAGTGTGAATGGGCAGAGATAATTGCTGTAGACTGAATAGGTGGATTTATGTGTTGATTTTATGTGTTGATTTTCATGACATCACAAAAACAATAAATTCATATTGATATGAGTTCTATATGAACTATACATGGACTGGGGAGTGAACATTAATTAATTACATTTTAGCGAACTCTTTTATTTAAAAAAGTGAGGGAAATTTAAGGCCCTTCAAAATTAATTTGAATGAAAGCTTTTAAAAAGATGAATTAGTGGCACAATAACTGCATAACTGCAGCAACTTTATTGCTTTAGTCATTGCTTTGGTCTTGGGGTCCTTTGCATAATCTGTTGCTGTATTTGGAAGCAGAACAGACACAAATGCACACTAAAGCACCACTTCCACTTCACTTCCCAAATACAATGACCATAAACAGCTCAGTCAAAGTTACACGCAAGCATCTTGTGGTAAACCATAATATTTTCATCCTAGACTTCCTTCATTTTTATTCAAATCAAAGACAATGTGATGCTGACCGTGTTTGAATGAATGCAGTACATAATGCTTAACAAAGGACTTTACTGTCCCAGATGGAACTTCCCTGATTAACACGAGCCACTTAAAATACTATATATAGGCACATTAAATGTTCAGTTCTCTTAAATCAGTACAGCTGGAAACTACAGGAGGGTGTATTCTGTCTGCAAATCCGGCATCATCGGTAGGTACCTCAACAAAAATGATAGAAAAGTGACCCTAATAGTATTTGAGGCTAAATGACTTTTGATTGCAGTCTTTGGAACACTGGGCCTCATTCACCAATGTCTTCCTAAGTTTGTTCTTAAATTTGTTCTTGAGAAATGTCCTAAGAAAAAGTCAGATTCATGATGTGCTTTTAAACTGCAGAATTGTTCGCACCTTTGTGCTCTTGAGTGTGTGTAGATTCTGTTCTTACCTAAGAACAAATCCCAAATAAGAAAACACTGGTGAATGTCAGAATCTTCATAAAAACTGCGTAATTGGGTTTTAAGAAGAAATTTCTTCTTAAGACCGATTGGTGAATGAGGCCTATTACTTCTCCCTAGATGACTTTAATTTCTTGTCTTTTCTTTTATTTCTTTTCATTATATTTCCATGTTAATCAGGTTTCCAAAACGGTTATTTTGTATAATTAATTTTTTAACTAGAGCTTTCTGAGAGGGAGTTTTTAGATGCATTAAACTCTACAGACGTTTTTTCAAATTTTTTGCATAATTAAATGGTTGAGATGTAAACAGTCATTCCAAATGAGCCAGAGTTTAGTGCCTCTATAAGGTACACTGTAGTATAAGGTAATAGTTTAGTTTAAGCTAAAAAAAAACTTTGAATGAACAATTCTTTTAGCCAAAATAATTGTTTGAGTTGTATAAAACCACATGAACATTTTTTTTAGAGTGAACCGAGAAACTAGCTTACAGCGTACCTTATAGAAATCTTTTACAAGAAATGGTAACAAATATGCTGCTTGATGACTGTGATATTTGGGAAAAACATGTGCCGGGTGTTGTGAGGCAAAATAGATCCCTGCACAGAAAACTTTCTTTTTTTTCAGATTTATCACTATTTCACCATCATCAACATTAAATATAAAAACTCAGACTCAAGCACATGTAGCTTCACTGATGGTTTTGGATAGCAAATTTCTGTTGTAGACACAGGTGGTTCCTAACACCACCACTGTAAAGAAATCCTAGTCAATACATTTCTCACTAGTGCATCATTTCACATCAAACCACTCTCAATTACTCTGTTTACATTTCAACACATGAACTATGTAGAGATTTTGAAAAATCAGTGGAATCCCGCTTTAAAATAACAGTCTTTTTTACAGTTCTGATTCTGACTTAGAACTCTCTGTATGTTAATGAAATGTTACATGTTGTAATGCAATATAGTTTGTTAAACATCTCAGCATTTATTACAGACATGGAGACTTCACCTTCACCTGAAATACCGGAGCTTGATTCTCCAGATGAGAATGAGTAAGATCACCAGTTTGAATATAACTACTTTTGTTTTTTCATACCATCTGTGAAATAAGTGCTGGTGGTAATGTTTGTTTTCTATTTTAAAAGACAACAAAATCATCCAGTTGAAGAGAGGAGTGGAGTATTCCTCAAACAATGGGACTCGCAGGTGCGGCCCTTTATTGAAATGATCGACTACCTGCGGCGTATAGGCATCGAGAAAGAGTTTGCCCTGCCGTCCATCGCTGTTGTTGGAGACCAGAGTTCTGGGAAGAGCTCGGTTTTAGAGGCACTGTCTGGCGTGGGGTTACCCAGAGGCAGTGGTGAGAGATCCGTCTGTTACACAGGGCTACACAATGGGGACAACATACTAGCATTGTGGTCATACTGCAACGTACTGCACATTATGATATTATACACATTATAACACATTAAAAACCCACTGACAAATCAATAATGTGATATGATCAAGATTGGTCGGCCAAAATAATTTACATTTGTTGGACTACATGGTTTATCAAAATATCAACAGAAACACTTGCATGAAACTATGATTGGTCAACAACATGGTCAACCAACATGTGATTGGTTAACATCAGTACTGCAAAGGTAAATAATACCATAATTAACACAAATAATTTTTGCACAGCCCTACTGCAGTACTGTGCAAAAATCAGATATAGCCATTCAGTACATTCAAGTTATTCTTTTTTTTTAGAATCCGAATAAAAGCAGAGAATATATATTTGACAGACTTGCTGTGAGTGTTTAAAGAAATCTGCAGGAATGTTGTTCCACACTTCCGAAGTTCAGTCTTATAAGTTGGTTACATTTTCTGTTTCTTACAATCCGAGTAATCCAACACATTCGCTGATGTTAAGGTCTGGACTCTGGAATGGTCAGTCAATTGTTCTGAGAACACCAGCAGCTTCTTTGTTTGATTTGCAATTTTTTGTCTATTTTTTTTCTCAGGAATGGCTTTTTCTCCAGACTCTCTAAGATAATAACTAGAAGTAGTGTTTATTTAGAGCTGTTCAGCAGAAAATTTGGAGTCAACTCCATTTCTGATTCCAAGTAATGTAAATCAATAGAGTTGATTCCACACAATAATCTCCAGAAAAAAAAACAAGATACAGAAAAGAATATTCGGCAAAAATAAAGAGGGCTATATTAATTATAATTAGCAAGGACACTTGGCCTAACTTAACATTAGCAAAATTAGACTAATTACATTAAACTCCTACTGTTGAGGAGGTGTTTCGGCATGGGCGACATTGACTGTCAGCCATTTTTTTCTTACAAACTTTACATTTTACTTTGCTTTCAATTAAAATAGCCAATCTATTGATGTGTATGTTGTGGACGGATGCATTTTTAGACATGCTGTCTAAACATTGACTCTCTGAGATATTCGGAGATGCAGGCAAACCTGAACATCCTTGTGTGGAATCGAGTTTGTACAAATGCCTGGAATCGGAGAACTGATTCTTTTTGGGATTGACTCCCAGCCTTATGTTTACTCGATGGGGACAGGTTTGGAGGTCTACCAGGTCTTGTACGGTTGTTAGGATCTCATTTTCTCTACATATTTTAATCACTCAAGTTCTGACAGGACATTAAATAAATGAAGGATGCTTTCTGACATTTGCACAGCACTGTACGTATTGTTTTTAGCTTTTTATAACACCAAAGTAAAACTTTCTCAAGATGTTTTACTGAGATTCAAGAGATGTAAAAGACTAAAACATTAAAGAATTGAAGATTAAGTTGAGTAATCTAATAAAAGACCAATAATTTGCTTGTATTTCAGGTATTGTCACTCGCTGTCCACTGGAGCTGAAATTACGGAAGATGCATACAGGTGCAAAATGGACGGCTGTTATATCTTATCGAGACGTACAGGAGACGTTCACTAACCCTGCACAAGTGGAGAGTTATGTCAGAAAAGGTAAGAAAGGCTTTTAATCTTTTAATCATGAGTTTGCATATTCGATAGACCTGTACATGTATGACATTAGAACAATGAGCAGGAAATGAAGAAAGGCTGCTGTACACACAGTTTAGCAAAATTCTTAGGCTTCTTGAGTAAATGAAATTTAAAATTAATGTGAAACGGAATCTACTGAACTTTAATTCTGCACTAATTTCATATTTCTGAATGAAATAAAGTGGCAAGGAGGAGCACTGAGCTCTCTGAGTGTTTCACTGATAAGTGGGGGTATTGAGAGGCGGTGGTAAAACACAATGTCATTGGTTAATATCATTGTTCCCAAGTGATGGTGTCACAGCCAAAAATCATAACACGTTTTTTAAGTAAATGTCAGTACACTGTATTCAAAGATCACAGGAAAACAAGAATTTTGCCTTTTAAATGATACTATATGATTAATCACGTTTAATATGAACAGTGTCATGAACTAACAAGGTAAAAAAAGTGTTGTTTTATTCTAGGTTGATTTTAAATTAGTTAGTAAATAGTACTCTATAGTAAGTAGTCTATGTAGTATATAGTGTTATATAGTATATGTTATATTACATATTCTAAATAGTGGTCTATAGTAAGTGTTTCTTTGCTTGCAAAATCTTAACAGTGGAATTAGTACAAATAGGCATTATCTCACAATATATTAATAACTTTAGTAAAAACAAGAAATTCTTGTTCCTTTATGCTGTACAGATGTTTACTTGTGTTTATTCTACATATGTTCTATACTTACACTATATATATATATATATATTATATATATATATATATATATATATATATATTATAGTGATTTAAAAAGGCAAAAAATATTTACTGCCTAATGAAATAAGCACAACAGAACAACAGACACAATCCTGTCAGGTAAAGCTCTCTGTTTGCACATTTCAGCCACAGTTAGTGTGTACCTAGAGTTGCACCTGTTGTTCCAAATTTAGGGTCAGTAGGATGACCATATTTTGGTTTTTAAAGAAGAGGACACTGATGGCAGGAGGGTGGCACAGGGCAGAGTATAGAAACCAAATGTCAACAAGAAAGCAAAGCGAAAGATTTTAGGCAATGTAGAAACCTTGGCCAGAGATATTTTTAGACCCCAGAAAAAGGACATGTCCTGAAAAAAGAGGATGTATGGTCACCCTAATGCAGGCATGTCAAACTGCGTTTACCCTCATCTAATGCTCTGAATTCATTTCATGAAGGCCTTGCTAATTAGCTGATAAGCTGAATTAGGTGTGTTTAATGTGGTAGTGTGCTGAAGTCTGCACTGTATTGGTCCACAAGGACTGGACCTCGACACGTGGTCCAGTTGTTTATTCAAACTGCCTGTGTTCCATTGTGTCTGTTGATCCAGTCTCATACAGACACCCTACAGTTGTCATTCTGGAATATGGGAGTGTCAATGTTGGGTTCTGCTTGGACACGAAGCACAGTTAGAGGAATTGTGGGCTTAAATGGACACGATCTCAAGAGAGAGTGGTATAATCATTACCTGACTGGGATTGGTGCTGTTATTAAGGCAAGCGGATACTTAACCAAATATTACAGAAGAAATAATGCATGTGATTTCCCTGGCTAGCCTTAGGACAGTGGTCTCCAATCCTCTTCCTGGAGACCTGCTTTCCTGCACAGTTTAGCTCCAGCTTGTATCTAACGAGCTGCTCCTCCTTCAACCGATCAAGGACTTCTGAAGTAGTTAAATAGTTGGAATATGTGTGGCAGACTGTGACTGGAACTATTGGATGGTAGATCTCCAGGACCAGGGCTGGTTATCCACAGCCTTAGGATGTTTGCACAGTACTGCAGATTTAAACTTTGCTCCAACAAAAACTTTTTGTAGCCCAGAATGTTCTTGCTGGAGATGGAGTTGGAATCTGTGATGAACTCATCAGTTTAGAGATCACATCTCCCGATGTGTGCGACCTCACACTGATTGACCTGCCAGGTATAACAAGAGTTCCTGTAAAGGGCCAACCTGAAGATATTGGAGATCAGGTAGATGCAATATTCTTACAAAAACAATTCTGAAGCTTTGGGAACTGAAAGACCACTGACCTCTTATGATTGTTTTTAGATTAGACGCCTTATATTGAAATTTATTGAGAAGAAAGAAACCATCAATTTGGTTGTTGTACCCTGCAATGTTGACATAGCAACAACTGAGGCGCTGAGGATGGCACAGGGTGTGGACACTCATGGAACAAGAACTTTAGGTAAAAATTCATATTTGCAAAGAAACACTGCTATATCGATGCAGAAGTACTTTGACTTGCAAATCAGTACGCTTTAAGGAGGCAGCAGGATTCTGCTTATTTGTATACATTTCCTTATCGTTCTCTTTACTCAGCAATTCTAACAAAACCAGATTTGGTGGATAAAGGAGCAGAAGCTGACATCTTACAGATTATGCAGGGTAAGGTTGTCCCCCTGAAAAAGGGTTATATCATCGTACGATGTAGGGGCCAGAGTGACATCAATGAAAACCTCTCCTTGGCTGAAGCCACGAGATTGGAGACGGAATTCTTTCGAAACCACAGCCACTTCAGGTAACAGAACTCTATCACACAGAAAAACTGCAGCAGTGGCCCATAAGAATGAGTACAGGAGCCGTAACTTATGCTCCTCATCTAATCGAATCAAAATGATTAATCAATTAGCTTTTAAATAAATAACATTTTTATCAAAATGAACAAATATTCTGTTAATATTATGAATTAAAAAACTAACTGGAACCCAAACCTTAATTTTCAATAGCTAGGTTTAGTAGGTGTATTTGAGCAAAGAAATCACCAAACTATGCTTCAAGATCAGAAGTGAATACCCCACATATATACATATATATAGATATATATATATATATATATATATAAAAGAGGAAAATCTGTTTTTCTACAATACGGTTTGTTGGTAGAGTTAAGTAAAGGGAAAAATGCCACAAGGTCAGCCACAATGGAGAAGTTTTATATTGCATCATAACTTTTTTCTCAGTATTAGATTAAAAAATCCTCACTCTGCAGACAAACAAAAATACTATATTCAATTACAGTGTCTGAACAGCAGGTACTCATGGCAGACCAGTGGCATAACAAGGATCTTACAGGCCCCACTGCTAAAAGCCACCCTGCCCCAGTAGTCAGGAATCCACAGTTGTGTCAGTATATGTCATTATATGGAGGCTCAATAAAGATTTTAGGGGGCTTGGTCACTGCAGGCCTCCCGTACCATGGGACCCAGTACGGTTGACCCCCTTGACCCCCCAGTAGTTAAGCTACAGTGGCAGACCTCTACACACATTCAAAATGCACTGTTGGAAGCCTTCAAAGCACAATACTAATTTAAAAAGCCCTGTTATTGGGGGTTATTGTGTGGACCACTGGCCAACAAGTACGGTATGACTACAGATAATTGTTCAAACTCATTGAAATGTATATATCATCTCCAGCTATCTTCTGGAAGAACAAAGAGTCACAACTCAGTGCCTTGCCAACAGACTCACCAAAGAGCTGGTTGAACACATCAAGGCAAGTCATAGCACACTGGTTAAAAAGAGTTTTAGACAGTATCTCCTGAATATGCAATATGTGGCAAATTCCTTTTGGCTGCTCTTTCCCACATGCAGGCATCACTGCCATCCCTGACAGAACAGATTCAAATCCGTCTGTCTGCTGTTAGGATAGAGCTGAGGAACTATGGTCACGGTCCTCCTCTAGAGCAGCACAAGATGGGACCTTATCTGAGCAAGGTAAGTTCTTCAGCAACTCACTAGAAGATGCAGGTAAGCATTCATCCTTTGAGCTCTTGAAACTTAAGTGGACTCTTCGGTCTCTTGTTTTTTTTTGTGTGAGCAGAGAATCCTGGAGTTCAGCGACCAGATCAGTGAGATCTGTCAGACTGGAGGACAGGGAAACCTCTACTCACTCCTGCGGCCTGTGTTCAAGCAATGGGAATCCCAACTGAGAGACTCCAAAGCATGCTGTACATCATCAGTTACTGGCTCATTTTTGAAGTGATGGTTTGGCCCAAAAAATTCTCCCTACCCGAAATCACATGTGTCAAGCTCCAATCCTGGCAGGCCAAAACGCGGCAATTTAGAGTGGTAGATGAGGGTAGAAGCTAATCTCTGCAGCACTTTGGCCTGGAAGGTCCCCAGTTTGACATGCCTGCCCCAAATGTAGTTGATCAGCCAAAACGTGTGGCAGTTTTACACTCAAGCTAATGTAGCTAGCAAGTAATACAGCAAGCTTCTAACTAGTAGTGGATGGAATTCTTCCTCAGGTAGGAGTTTTGTCACATCTGATATACCAGTTTGCCACAAACAAGTGCAGATAATGCGATGTATGAGTAAGCCTGTCTGGCAGAACAGATGAGCCAGGGATTTTTCCATCACATTTCAAATGAAAATGATATCGCTGTCTTGTCCGTTTGCTTTTGAAGTAGACCACTTTGTTTTCGAGGCAGCAGACCTAAAGGAACACTACACCTTTTGAGTTTAGTATCAGCCAAACATGGACACCAGAGCACTTCTGTTTACTCTTGCTTGTACCTCCTAAAATGAGCCAGCCGACTGGATCAGCTGCACCATGCAATGTTCTGCAATGGGTTTGTTTGTGCAGCAAACTTTGGACCAGCTGGTACTGAAGCATAAATGACCATAATATTTTCCAAATTCCAGCAGTGTCTGACGGTCAGAGGTGCGAGTGTGTGGGACGCACAAATGAGAAATTCTTATTTGAATTTCCTGTTCCACCTTGCAACAGTGCAGCAGTTACATTCAGGTGCATGTACCGGTAAATTCAAACAAAAAACTGCCAATGAACTTCAGCTTTGTAGAAATTTAAAACGTTTAGCACCATTTTTGCCAGGCTTACAGTTTTTTCAGTTTTTTACTATTTTGCACAATAAAAAATATTTCAGATTTACTTCAGTTGTAAAAATGGTTCTTATTTGAAAGTCGAGGGACATAATTGATCAGAGATGGATCTTGACCATATGCAACATAAGGGTGGATGGAATTGCATTTTCTATGTCCACGTACAATAACAATCTTTTGTCAAGATTTATCTCATGTCCAAAAAGGACAGTAGTGGCACTGACCACTGCAGAAATCAGCAGCTGCAATACAATGCCTTGTCTTCTGGGCTTCGGTTTCTTCCGATATTCAACAGTGTAAAATACACTTGTAGTAAGAGATAAGAGATTAAAAACAACGTTTACAATAGTTTACTGGATGTTAAACTTTTTACAGTGGAAAGTAAAATCTGATCTCATCTAGTCACACTGGGGATGCATTTTGATGAAAAGGGTAAACGGAATGTAACGGAAATGAAAGGTATATCCAGAAAGAATCCAGACATGAAACAAATTAATGCAAGACATAAACAAGCCCAAGCTCTTAATTATGTGGTTCAGACACTGTATGATATACTGTTATCTATAAAAAAAAGGGCCAAAATAAGGACAAATAACAACTGCTAATAGAATTTTTAGCTATGCTATGTACTTTTGCCCATCTCTGTAAAACAGGGATGTCCAATCTTGTCCACAATGGACCAGTGTGGGTGCAGGTTTTCATTCCAAACAAGCAGAATACACCTGATTCCACTGGTTTAATCAGTCAGTCTCAGTCTGCAAACAACCAATCAAGTGTGCTTTTGCTTTGTTGCAATGAAAACCTGTAGCCACACTGGCCCTTCGTGGATAAGACTGGACACTCCTGCTGTAGAAAACAGAACATGCTACAGTTTAAAAAAACAAATATAAGCAATTCCATTTGAGATTACTTAACTACTCGACATAGCTTGAGGCAAATATGTGGTGATTCAGACATGCAGTTTGCATGATGCTAACCTTGCGGTTAGAAGCTTCCATTGGCCTTGTAGCTCCAATGAAAATATCAAACCTCAGATAGTAACCATGTTTTGGCTGGTTGACTACATTTGGGGTAAGGAGAATTGTGCAAATTTGATTTTGGTTTCATGTTAGCTATAAAAATAAGCATATTAGACTGAACAGCATGAAGAATGTATCTTGAGTCATGTCATGTTCTCGGTTAATGGAATTCTCGTCTAATCTCAGTCATGTTCTCTTTTTGGTCTAAATAAAGTCAGAGACGCAGTGCAGGAGATGATGGAGAACTATGAAGCATATCGTGGGAGAGAACTGATAACATTCAGCGACTACTCAGTGTTCGAATCATTGATTCAGAAGCATGTTAATGACCTCAAACTACCAGCTGTGGAGACTCTGAAGACCATTAGAGGTAATGTAAAACTGAACTGCAGAAGATAATCAGGAACAGTTGAGAATGTATAAACGAATCATAAAATATATAATAAAAACAAGTTTGTTTTTTTCCAGGCATTGTACAAAGTGAGTTCAGAGCCATGTGTGAGCTCTGCTTCCCAAATTATCCTCATTTGAGGTATATGATACTAGTAAGTGAAAATGATCTGAACTATTTGAGCTTTACTTTCACTGTAGAGCATTTTCTACACTACACAATGATACCTTGACAAGCAAAATCTTAAATCTACTTAATATATCTAATATTTTTCATTCTGAGATTGTTGTAGGAACAAGCTGGGTAGTAAACTAATGTAGTCTGAATGTATTATGGCAATAATCATGGCTTCTTTGCATTATGTTGTCCTAATGTCTTAATAGCCACGTTATATATGTTCTCAGAACCAGATTGACGACATTCAATCAAAACAAGAGGCCAAAGTGGAGAAGAGGCTCCTTGAATACATCAACATGGAGAAACTTGTGTACACCCAGGACCCCATTTTCACACAGAAATTGGTAGCCTTCCAGTTCGTGGAGCGGAGGCAGGAGTATGAGTCTGTTTGCTTAGATACTGGAGAGAATGCAACCTCTGCCAACAACTGTGCTGTATTTGACACCAGAAAGCTAACACCTGAAAAACTGATCATCTACTATGAGGTGGGTGACGGCAAGCTAATGCTAAACTAGGCACTGCATTTGCACTATGACACATTCGATTTCGAAAGCAGTAGTACTTTTTCTTTTAAAAGTGTACAAGGCTCTGCCAAAGGCTTATTTTGTGAGTTTATGCCTTGTAGCTCCACTTTGCTGGTGTAGAGTTAGAGACTGTAGCCATGCACAATGTATGTTACTCAGCCTCCAGCCCTTCATCAACAATCAGTTTCTGACCACAGAGCTAGGCATTTTTGGGTGGTGGACCACATTCAACCTAGCAGTGACACTAACATGTAAAAACCCCCACCAACATGACTGTGTCTAATACAGGCTACTAGTGTTTTACTCACAACCATTCAAGTCGAGTCCGAGTCAAGATAAAGACTGCCTGTAGTCCACTGTACATTCATTATCATTCATTATATGATCTTAATAAATGTTTTTTAATTATATTTTGTAAAGGATAACATTAATTGATATATAGCCTAAAAATATTATTCATTATCATTATTATATTAGTCTCAGTGTTATATTACAGACTTTGCATTGTAACTTTTGGAAGCTAAAGATGCCGAGGTTATTCTCTGTCCTTTCTCTAAAACTCTAAAACATACATATATTTTTATTAATAAATGACAACAAAGTAATAATAACATTCCAATCTGCCCTCAAGGTATGTTTTAATTTTGGAACGAATGAACTTCAACAAACAAAATAACCCTATTAAGACATCATGGAGATCTATTATATCCTCAACTGGCAGCAAACTGATTTTATTTCAACTTGTAGATAAAGGACTGTTTTATTTGTTTGATGTTTGATGGTTTTGTTAATATTCAATAACGACAGAAAAAAGTATCCCCAGTCCAAATGATGTTGAGACAAGCACTGTTAAGTTGTGGACTCATTAAGTTGTGGACTCGGACCAAGACTGAACTCACATTGCTACCATGCACCACTACCATGTCAGTGTCAGTACTGTGTTTGGAATGGTCCACCACCCAAAACTGACCAGTGCTGGGTTGGGTAGGGGACAACAAACAAATTGTGCATGACAACAGATGGGCTACAGGCTTTAATAGCACACCTACTGTATATAGTAAACTGTATAATAGTATAGTAGTGGCCAGTGAATGGAAGAACAAGGTAGTGGATTGTGAGTATATGGTTGTTGGATAGGGCTCAGAGATGAGACTGAGGAAAAGAAAGAAGCAGGGGGTGCATAAACTTCTCAACAGAAAACAGAAGGAAGAGACGGAAATATATAGCTAGCTATATAGCAGGGAGGAGCTTCAGGTGTAGTCCTTCTATCAAACTTTAGTTATTTCATAACTCTACCCATTTGATCTTTTTTCAGTCTTTGCAATATATTCTGGTGTTCTGTACATGAAACGGTTGAGGAATGTTGTCTAGGTTTTACCCATGTTTATTTGTGTGAGCACATACAGTCCATTAGAATCATAATCATAAAATTCACTTTGCCCCAGGCTACCTTAAAACTTGAACTATGGGTCTGTGTGTGGGCCCACATTCTATTCCTCACTCTCATAACTACATTGCTTACAGCTTTATTTCATACCAATGATATTAGTATCATAACATGATTAATTAAGATTATTAACTGAAAAATATGCCTGCACATATTAGCCCTTATTTATCAAAGTTGGGTACAAAGGAGCGCAGATTGAAAGACAGACAAACTGCTCTGCGTCATGAAACTTTCAATGTGGAAACAAGTGGAGATTTGAGTACAAATGATCAAACAGCTTTAGTTCGTAAAATCAAGCGCCTGCTCACCAGAATCATTTACATCATTTAAAAACAGAATTCATGCAGATGTTTTGTAGAGAGCCAATAAAACGATAGTATTCAGCAGCTGGTGAGCAAATGGCTGTACTCATAGTGTTAAAATTTCAGCGGCTGAAAAGAATAAAATGTGAAATAAACAAAAAGTTTTAATTTTTTAAGACAGTAGAATGATGTTATTGTGTACTGTGATTATTTTCCTAAAATAACATATTTAAATGCTTTATTATTGCAGCGTTTGAGAGGCTTATGCCCTAGCTGCATTTAGTATTGTTAAATTTTTGGATGTCATTAACATAAAACAAAAGCACAGAGTAGTATGTATTTAAATTAAACATTGAATCAGTTGCAGCATTTGTTTATATTGTTTATGTTTGTGCATGTATAACAATGTGGTGTTTAGGTGAAGAACAACTAGAGGGAAACACTGCACATGGAGGCAAGTGCTTTTTTATTGAACAGGCAGCAATGGAGAACCACTGCCCAGCGCTAACTGTGGCTGGGATAGCAGGCACGTCATATGCAGACAAAGAATTCTGCTTTATGATAGACACTAGAGCCACACAAACTACCCCGCAACCTGACACAGAATAACACATGCAACACATGTACACCTGTCAACTAACATCAACAACTTAAACTACAAACATTAAAGCCACTTTGCATGGCCAATTTGCACCGATAAGTACAAAGACAAGATATTTAAAGTTTATCTCAACAACTTCATTGTATTTCATAAACATACAATCATTCTGAAACTGATGCCTGCAACAGGTTCCAAAAAAGTTGGGACAGGTGCAATACAAGACTAGGAAACGCTCAGAAAACATTTCAAACGGCTGATGCTGATCATGCTCGGAAAAAGCTTTCTTAGCCAGGGGATGCAAAGATTTTAGATATTTTACCTTCTACAGAGCTATGTATCATCAGAATATTCACACAATCTAGAGAAATCTCTGTGTGTAAAGGAAAAGGCCAAAAACCAGAAATCAATGCTTGTGACCTTCAACCCCCGACAGTACTTCATTAAAAACCAGTATGTTTCTGTTATGGTTATCACCACATGCACTCCGGAACTCTTTGAAAAAAAAAAACATTGTCAATAAATAGTGTCTGGCAAACATGCTCCTGGTAAACCTTTTAGGAACATGCTCTTATGAACAAGTCCACAAGGTAAAACATAAACCTTTCGCACTGGATTGCCATATGCACATTTTATTATTATTATTATTATTATTATTATTATTATCATTGGTATTATAGATAATATTGATAACAGTTTTGGCTAGTTAACTGCAAATCAAGCAGACTGTTAAACTATTGCACGCAAATGTACATGCACTTCTACCAGACATGAGTTTGCTCGTTCACATATGGCGAAGATGAAATCAATGAATAACAAACCTTTGGTGAAATTGTGTGCTCATTTTACAATACAATTTTACAAAATTTGACTGTACTTAACTTCGATGAATAAGGGCCAATATGCCGTCCTCTATCCTAACAGATCGTCTACCAGCGGCTTGCTGACTACGTGCCTATGCTGGTCTTGCTGTTCATGCTGAAAGAAGCTGCCATTATGCTGCGAGCAGAATCCATGAACCTGCGGGATGGAACCGATGTGTCAAAACTCCTGACTGAAGACTCAGAGGCAGGAAGAAAGAGGACAGAGCTATATCAGCGCATGGAACGACTGCGGCAGGCGCAGGAGAGGATCAGCATTAACTTCTAAACCATTGCATTTATTCAATTGTCTTTAGTACTGTGTTTTCTTTTATGTTGTCTTTGTCTTTTCTTCGCATCATGTGAAGGAAAACTCATATTCAAAAATCTATTTAAACTCCATGATCCTTAAGGTAACTTTAGTACTAGGGAATGCTCTTTAAGGTGTCACCTCCTCTTGCCACTTCCACTTGCACTGAACAGTTCATGTTTTGAGAACCATTTTCCTCTTTCGAGATCAAGGCTGATTGATATGCCTGCTATTCACTGCTGTTAAAGTGACTAAAAACAGTGTATTAAAAGAAACTACACAAGTACAAATAACAGGCAGCTTCTTCAGTTCCTTTCAGTTTGTCTCATTTTACTTGCTCACTGTTAGTAAGCTCAGATATAGTGCCTTATTAAAGAACTATTGTTAAAAAAAAGTTACTCACTTGGAATCATAGCACATGTACACAGTGGCTATGAAAAAGTTGAAGGTCACTTTACAGAAGAAAAAAGGAAGTCAATAGAGAAATGATTTATTCCAAGTTATTTCAGAGCACTTCTATTGGTCCATTCATTGTGAATTTTTAATACAACATAAAGGAATGCTGACAATTTCAAATTACGTAAAAAAATGAAAAACGACAACATGGAGATATGAGGTTTTGTCATGACACCAATGAGCAATCGTTTGAATAATTACAAATAAACATACAATGTTTAGTTTCAGATTTCTCCTTGAAGCTCACATCACACACATTTGCAACTGAATTGTTATGTCTGACTCGTACCAGCACAACACACACTAACACACCACCAGTCACTGCAGTGGTGAGAATGATCCACCACCCAAATAATACCTGCTCTGTGGTGGTCCTGACCACTGAAGAACAGGGTAAAGGGGGGCTAACAAAGTATGCAGAGAAACAGATGGACTACAGTCTGTAATTGTAGAACTACAAAGGGCTCCTATGTGGTAAGTGGAGCTGATAAAATGGACAATGAGTGTAGATTTAAGGAGGTGTTCCTAATAAAGTGCTTACAGGGTGTATAATAAACATTTGTGATAAAATGCCTTGCTAGACCAAAAACCTTATTGTGGGTAGGCTTTTTATTCACAAGTGTGAAAGATACAAATTTTTACTAGAAAAGAAAGAGAGATAACATACAGCATTTGTTCTCCATTTAAAAGTTTCTGAAAGTCGAGCTGGAGATGTGACACTATTTCCAGTTAGGGAGCTCAGTGAACAGTTGATGCCCCCTGGTTTTATGGTGCATTGTGGGAACTTTCAGGGAACAAAATGCTCTCGAAAGATTTAGACAGTGAGACACCCTAGAAAATGGCTGATTCCCTGGACAGTAATCTGACTACTGAACTAGGGAGCTTTTTGAGACACACCCACAGTTTTAGTCCATAGGTAGAGCTTTATTTTAGCTACACCTCTTCTTTTTAGAGCAGAAAGTGGCATCCCTGTCCCTTGTGGCCACATGGTGAGCAGTTATATCTGATTACCTTAAGAACTGTCATTACACTTTTTTTGCCTTTAAGTAATTTTTTTATGTGTTATATAAAGATTTTACAGGTGTACAACAGTTCAAAGCTGTGTTTGCCAGTCATGTACTGGCTAGCACGTTAGAGCTATGCTAAAATGAGCTGAAATTTGTCACTAGCGAAACATTTGGTAAAGTTTCTGAAGTGCAATTATTGTAGCGATAGTGACAAAATGGACTGTTCAGTCTTTCATTTTAATAAAATAAACATTATTAAGGTACAGGATCACTCAAAGCAAAGTCTTAGTCTGATCTTAGTCTGAAGTCCAAGTCAGTTAAAAGTCAGTTGAAATATGTTTTAAACTCTGACTTAAACTAATTCAGTAGAAAGATCTATTTAGTTTTTTATTCATTTAGTGAACAAAGTGATCCACCATTATATCTCTTTATTAGCAAAGGTATGTGAACCTCTGATTTCACTAACTGGTCTGACCCCCTCAAACAGCAATGAATTCAAATAAATGTTTCCTATAACTGTTAATGAGAACTGCCTCAGCTCAGTGATGCTGGTGTGCCTTCTTGCATGAACGATATTTCTTTTGGATTAAGGTGCTTTAGTTCATGGATGATTGTCCTGACGTTCTCCTCTAGAATTTCCTGATACAATCCAGAATTCATGGTTCTATCAAATGATGCCTTTTGCCTTATCAGTCCAATAACATGCTTTTGATAGACTTTTTGCTCATCCAGATGGTCTTTAGGAACCTTAAACAGGCAGCAATGTATTTATGGGAGAGTAGTGGCCCATACATCTGACACAAATTCAACAACAAACTCTAGTACTAAACTTTAGTATCACCTGATCAACTACCAGTGAGTGAACTAGCTAGTATTTTAAAAACACAGCTGCCAGAACTGTGAACTGCCAGAACTCAATAACAATACTTTTATGACCAGTATCACTAATAAATTAATTTCATTGGATACAGTACATGTATAGCTTGTGTGATGCACATGTCAGTACCAAACACACACTTTTAAACCTAGTCTCTTGCTCTCTATGTCTTAAATTTGTTGACGTCACCAAAGTGCATACCTTGAGGAAGACTACAGAACTTAGGGCGGCTTATGGGACAGGCCCTTTGTGAATGAGACCCACTCTCACTGTGCAGTTAAAGCACTTTATCCTTCCCTATATTTCCAGACATGATTACATCATTATATCATACATAAAAGCAGTTACAAGTGATGTGTAACTAACAGTAATATAAGCTCTACCAATAAAGAAAAGCAGAAAACTGGACCATATCTCTGCACTACATCAGGGTATAAGCTATTAGTTATTTTTGTAGCAAGGCTCCAATAAAGAAGTAATACAATTTAAATCATTTCTTTATCAGACATTGCTTACATCAGATGTTTATTTATTACTGACCTTTGCTAGTTGAAATTTACAAAGCTTAAGTTAGCTTTTTGTCCTAAATGGTTCAGCCTAATGACTGCAAAATAACAGAAGTCAGCGTAACATCTCTGAAAAGTGAAACAACCACGAGTCTAGTGCCCCTGCTGGCTGGTTGCAGTAAGATATGTAGCTCCGCCTATCCCCATGCATTTCAATGACAAAATAACATTATACTGATATTGGCACATTTGTTATTTTTCCCCAGAAATGAGTTCCTCAAAATGTTATACTACTATATCAAAAGAAGCATTGGTTACATTTGGAAATGAACGTATTAATGTCAGTTGCATTAACATGAGCATCATCTCCATTTTGGTTAACAGGACACACATGTCACTCTACATTGAAGTGACATTTAATGATTTAAAAATTGAGTGTCAGTGGTGTAGATGTGAAGATCAATAATAAAAAGAGCTAACTAACGACTGACTTAAGTTTTGCCTGCGGAGGAGTTGGCACGCAAGCTTATCTTATCTAGAAGTCGCTTGCTAGCATATGTATCATTAGCCTACCATTACCTAGTAACATTCATTTCATTAAATTGTCACTGGCTATATTCAGAACTATCCCCCCATGACCCAGAAGAATAAAGCGGTTTAGAAAATGTGTGTGTATATTCAGAACTAGAAGGTTTCTAGATATGTCATTAAGTTGCGTAACTTACACAAAAACTGCACTTTTGCTGTTGATACATTACGCTTACCGGACAAACTAGATATCCAGGAAAAAAACTCCCCATTGCTGTAGAATGTAACTGCTGCACTATTTAAGGTGGAACGGAAATTGTACACGCATTACTCTGTCATCTTGTAGGCTGATCACTAGGGAGCTCTAGTGGACACCTGAAGCGTTGAGAAATGAACCATTTTCAACACAGTTGGATATACAGCTTCAAATCTTTGTGAAGTTTTATCTCCATCACTTGCTGTAAGTTTAGTTACATCAGAATCCTCATAGCAAAATCTGTCCACCATCTTGGCAGCGCCACCAGGCAGTTATTTCCAGTCTTCTTCATCTCTTTAAATGGCGAAAGACTGAAGGCCAAATTACCGTTTCAAATACATATTTATATACATATTTAAAATCACTGGTAAAATCTAACAAAAATGTCATAAATGGTTTGTAGCGTTTGGCGTAAATAAAGCACAAAAAAAACGTGTTTTTCTTAATAAATGTTTTGTCTACTGCGCTTACTTGAGCGTTAAGGAGCATTCATATTCATTCTCCAACCAGTGACCTGTCTCCTCCTTTAAAACATGACTGGTTACATCCAACATATAAAAATTATGTTCCCCAATATTTCAACTTAACAACACAGCCACCATGTTCACTTTCACTTCACAGCGACGCCTCAAGACAAACCGCTGCGGTGGGACGTAACCTAGAAACGACTGGCTGCAGTGCATGGACCTAAGTCTGGCAGGGGATTGGCTCAACTAAATTTGATTGACAGCTAAATTTACTGTCTGATTGGCTACAGTCGACAATGACGACGCCATCTCCTCCGCCCTCTGCCACGCCCACTGGTGCTCCGGTCTGCAGCGCTCCTCGTCTGATCAGGAGGAGAAGCGGACTGGGATTCAAATTATTTAAATTATCAACCGTCACCGCGTAACGGTCCTTCAGACGAGGAGGAGAAAACAGTGAGAAAGCAGGTAAGCTCTTCACCAGGTCTGTGGTGTTTAGTTAGCGAGATTAATGACTATGAGAATGAATATGTTACTAAATTAGTGATCATTTTTAATGCCAGACTGCATTTGCTAACCGTTTCTTGTCTGACGCTCTCTTGAGGGGGTGAAATCAGGCAACCCTTCATTTATGCCCTCGTGAGGAGAGATTAACAAAACCACCTTTGCTGCGTTTTGATAATGTTTTTTAAGTTCATGATGTTTAATTTTGGGGTTTGTCACGATGAGAGGTAGTCGACTTTTTAAAAAAGCCTTTAAGCCTTTTTAGTGCCAGTTTCAGTATTTGCTACCCGTTGCTTTTCTGACGCTGACCTGAACCTGAGGGAGAAACAAACCGCAGTAAGGAACGATTCACACAGTTAAAATGACACATTTTACTGCCGT